GATTTATAGATCACATCCCTTCTTTTTATCTTTTTTTTACATTTTAAGATAGATAGCATTCTACTGGACAATACTTACTTGTTCTTCTTACTGTACAATTTTCTTTTTTTCTTTTCTTGCAATATTGTAAAGTTACAAGAGAATTTACATTTAATCCTCCCTCACCCAATATTTAAAGATACATTGATATGAATATATGGATACGAATGTAAATATGGACACGGATCTAGAGACAAGTATACGACGATTATTGCAACGTGTGTAAACCTCCCCTGACGAAAATCGAACTATTGAAATACGTATACTACGAACGAGAATCTCGAAATCTAATTCGAACGAATTATAAATTGTATCAACGACTCTGTCTATCAATGTATCGGTAATTTACGAATTATTCAACTAGTTTGATGAAATTATCTCTAAGGTAGAAACGATCTATCGAAATGGGACGTAATCGTCTTATTTTTTTTTTTTTTTTTTTTTTTTTTTTTTTTACTTTTCTTTTAGACACGACAAATCGAATATAAATGGGACAGGCGATCAGTTCATTTGACGACAAAATAATAAATACTTCGACAGCACGTATTTCGTCACTGTAAATCGCTTTGCGTGTTTGTCGTAAAATTTTCAGATATCTGCTCACACGGTAATTTTTTTTTTTTTTTTTTTTTTTACTGGATAGCAATAAACTGTTCGACGTTTTCAATGTGTGTCGAGTTGCGCGCAGTACTTATTATTAAAATCTTTGTAGAATTTCAGATGCAACGCGAGATAGTCTTCTTTCGCTTTCACGTTGTTGTCGCGAATTGACGAGCAGTTCGTTAAAGAAAAGGGGAAAAAAAGAAAAAAGAAAAGATGGTACAGTGACTCACATTCGACACGAAATTAATTTCAGTTCAAGTTTCACTTGTGTATTTCGTTGTTTTTTCGAACGTCGACTACCTTTCCGAGCATGATACTTCGACAGTAAATGTAAAAAAATGATACGTGCTTGTGTCTTACGTTTTTCATAGCTATCCTCCGCAGCCAATACAATAACAACCGAATGATACAAAAAGATCCGTACGTTACTCGCAAAATAACGCGCGAATTTTCACCAAAAATTTCTCTTTTGCTAGAAACGTACGTACGTACACATTGCATACACATTGTGACAGAATATACTGCCGACCTGATTGTTTCTGATTTTACGTATATGTGTGTATGTACCTCGACAATTGAAACTATTCTAGCGTAATAGGATCTCTAGGACCACCTAGGTAGTCTTCTATCGTATGTACGTCTCGAACGATAACATTTTAGCCTTTGTAGAAATTTAAGATCAATAGAAGAGCGTAATTTCGAACGTAAAGGAACCTATATCTCTCCCCTCCCCCCTTCTTCTCTGACGTCGTAAATATATAATAATGCGCCGCTTTTGCGTTTCTACGTCTGTCACACGTTCACTGTGTTGAGAAAACACTCGAGGAGCTCGATACCAAAGTGATAAGCTCCTCTATCCCTTTCTTCTCTAATTCTGAACAAATGGACTCTCCTCGCTGTTCCTTCTTAATAATAAAACCGGAGCTACGTAGCTCCGGTAGTCTTTAGACGAGGCGCCGATTTGTCAAATCGAATTGCCAGAAAGATTTCCTGACAATGGTAATATTGTATCGTGTAATGGATCGTTAGCCTCGATGTTGTGTAAATAAGATTGTTTAGCAATTCGATGTTCTCGCGACTTGCCGGACTAACTTAATTAACAATCAAAGGCTTCTAACAATCTCTTAAATCTCGGTGTAAGTTGATCAAGTTGTGTAAGGGAGATTCTTTTCTATGTGACAGAAAAAAAAAAAAGAGAAGAAGCAAAGGAGTAAAAAATCTGTACTAAAGTATAGTTTGCTGGGTGTGCCTCCTCACACCCATGGTTTGTATTAAATAGATTCGTTAAACGAATGGCGTTATGAAACTATATGTAATAGCAAATGTCGTGAGATATGTGATAGTGATGTATTAGCTTTATTTTCCAAGGGCAGAAGAAAAAAAGACTTGAAAAATATATATATATATAAATATATATATATATATATATATATATATATATATATATATATATATATATATATATATATATTTCGATGAGGCAAAAATTCGATGGAATGTATAAATAATAAAACACGTAATAAGAGGTAGTTCAATGTGGTAAAGTTGAACGATAATTATGTACTCGTGTCGTTTAGCGTTAAGCCGTTTAATCAAGTAAGATTGTAAAATTTCTTTGAGATTGCGAGATCAACGATTCGACGGAGAACTCTTTTTCTGACTGTATAGTTTACGGCCTCGTTGTCTTACAAAACCCCGGGAGGTGGTTTCGAGATTCACTTCCTCCGGATAACCAGCACGTTCGCACATACAATACGTTTTACTATATATAAATTATTTTGTACTTTCCAGATCTTCAGATCTCTCTGTGTGTCTCTTTTAGAAACGTGTAATTAAAGATTGTACACATGCATTTATCGACTCATTAAATAACGTGGAGAGAGTGTGTGTGTGTGAGTGTGTGTGTGTGTGTGAAAGAAAATGAGATATATATATATACATATATATATATATATATATTTATTAACATTATATTACATTTATTTCACTGATAATGAAATATATATATATATAGCTAATACGTGCGTCTCATCGCTGTACGAATCTCTCGTACGTGTGTTTCGAGAAGGATGAAGAAACAACGTTCTTCGAATGATATTCCACGTCTATATTATAGTTGTGCGTTCTTTTAACGAGAGTCTTGCATGGGGCACAAACAACGTGTTCGATTTTCAGGAACACGCAAAGAAACTGAAGAAATTCGTTGAATTTTGTTTCTCTTTCGCTTGACGATGACGAAGAACCTTGAGACAACAGAGTGTTATGAGGGGGAAAGGGAATATTTAAATAACGACTAGAAAAAAAAAGAAAAAAAAAAAAAGAAAAACTCAAAGAACTACTGAAGGTAAATATATTACACTCTCTAGGGATGTTAACCAATTAATTTGAACGAACCGAACTTTTCTATTATGTATGTTTCATTCCAATGATTGAATTATACATTTAGCATTGCGAATTAATGTACGTTGTTACGGTTAGCATGTTACACTCACCGAAAAAAGAAAAAAGAAAAAAAGAAACAGAGATACAACTTGTTATGTGTGTTCGTGTGTATGGGTGTGTATGGGTGTGCGAGCGTGTGTATACATATATATAAAGTTTCTTAATTTCTCATTTGAATTTTTGCATAAGAGAAGGAAGTGTCTTTTCTTTTTCTTTTTTTTTTTTTTTATAAATCCACTTGATCCAATCGAGTTGGACTTTGTTACACAGCAGTGTAACAAAACGCAATCGATTTTAAAGAAAATTGGGACCGAAGAATTACCAAATGGAACACGAGGTCTATTTTTGTAACAGTTTATAAAATACAAGTATATTTTATATTTACATTATTATAAATATAAAATATCATTTTATTTTATAAAATGTAAAAAAGACAGTTTGGACACGCTGTCTTTTATTTGATCGCGCTTTCATTTCATTGAATCGATTGTTTCGTTAATTATCGCTCAACGTAAAATACACAGAGAGAGGAGTGCCTCAAATACGGTATTTTCAGATCTTAATATCGTTTAAGGCTAGCCAGCCCATTTTTCTTTGAAATCACTATAGAAATTTACAGAGGAAGGGATTGCATCTTGTTACATTGTTTAAAAGCTCGTTGCAAATCATGCTCGTCGTCGCTTCTGCGTCGCCGCTTGTAATCCTTGGATCACAAATTTTCGTTTCAAGGTTCGTGTTACACGTTACGCACACACTGCCGGTGAGCTTAAAGCCATTATATTATTAAGGCAGAGACTATCATTTCTTTGAAAGTGGTTTTTTTTTTGGAATAAATATCAACATCTTTGGACATAAATTTAAAAAGAAAAAAAAGGGAGAAAGCTTTTCATGAAAAAAAAAAAAAAATCCCTTTTTCGTTTTTCAAAACAACTTTTGCTACTTTATACGTTCTTTCGATTAGTTTATTGAAATTCTGCAGTGGCGCGTTGTGACATTTTTGTGAAATTAATTTTTATTTTTCTGATCGTCCTTCTCTTCCAAATATTTTCTACACAACTTGGAAGAGCTAAAATTGACGCCTCGCCATTGTGACACATAATTCTTATCGTTCAAAAAGTGAAAGTCATAAACAAATCCTTTCCAAGAAAATGAAAAAAAAAAAAAAGAAGAATTGAAAGGCTCAATTTTCGTTCAAAGACATGCAACAAATTCGCTGTTAACTATAATATATATATATATATATATTAGAATAACTATAAAGAATAACTTATTCTCGAATTGCCGCTCCTAGAAAATCAAATTGTCTCCAGAATTGTCATTATTCGGCTGAATGAATTTTGCAAGCGAAAGTTCGCGCGAACGATTCGAATTAATTAGCAAGTGGTCTCTGCAACCTTTGACCCGGCAGTGCACGCAACGTGTGAGACGTATTATACGTGCGCACGTAAGATGCAATTAAGAGAATGAATCAAACATCGATCGATATAGCTTCTATTTATAACTTACAATTAGTAGCAGAGTGAATTTGCATCGTGACCGGCGCGTCAGTTTCCAGAGTGTCAAGGATTACTACGTGATCCAATGATTAATCGTGTTTACGGGTGAGATCGATAGCTCTCGCGTCCGGAACACGCGTCCTAAGATCGGCGAGACCTTGCTCAGATACCGATCGGCGTGTAAACGTTTGCATTTATCCGCGATATTTCAATTTCCGTGTGAATTATTCCCGAGGCGGGAGCGTCGATCGATCAATCAATCGGTAAATTAATAAACACGCGTATAGTACACGAGTAGTATACCATAAATGCGTGTCAGTGTGAGCATTGCACGATGAGTCGATCATAAAAAATTGCGATCATGACGCAAGAGGATGCACGTCTCGCAAATAATTACGTGGCGCCATCCATACTCGATGCATCGGTGAGAAAATGTCTTTCTTTTTTTTTTTTTTTTTTTTTTTTCTAGTTGAAAATTATGCAGGTGGCGCATTATACAGGCAACATTATCGAGTCTTAATGAAATTAATTAATTTAACATGTCTAGCAACGATTGTTTAATTTTTCGACTGTACTTTTCTCTTTTTCTTTTTTCTTGATTTAATAATCAAAATTGAGTCTCAGCTCTACAAAGACGATGGACTTTGTTGGACGAAAGAGAAAATGATATTAACTTGATTGAAAGTTGATTACGATCCGAACGTATCGATAAGTGCGATGAATGGAGACCCTCGGTCAGACAATTTTCCACTCTTGGCAGACGAAATTTTGAACAACGCGAAAATCGTAACGTCAGCATTTGCAGAATAATTTCAGTTTGATTGTCAATTCTCTTCAAATCGGAACCAAGTGGATGTTTCTCTTCTTTTCGTTTTAGACCTCGCGAAATCTGAAAGATATAAAATATTGTATATATATATATATATAAATTATATATATAGAAATGCTTCCAAAATTGAACAAACGTCAAAAAAGTAATTCCAGAATTTCGAATTCTTTTCGAAACTTCATAATCTGTTAATCACACGCGCATGGTCTAATGAGAACGAATATATGTGTACTTATTACGTCAGCACGATACTTATTGATATTCTGTTTAAGCAATCGAACGTAATATATATATATATATATTCGTAACTGGTATGCACCGCGAGAGAAAAAGAGAGAAAAAAAGAAACGAAAAAATACCGACATTACTCATCATTACTAATAATATTATAATAATAAATCACAGTATGCTCTAAATGTATTATCATTGTTGTTGTTGTTGTAATCATTATTATTATTGTTGTTGTTGTTGTTGTTGTTGTTAGTGTTATTGTTATTATTATTATGATTGTTGTCGTCGTCATCATCATTATTATTGTTATACTATCATTGACACTTTTTTATCAAAAATTTCTGTCTCTTGATAATTTCTTCTTTTTCTTTCTTTTTTTTTTTTTTTTTTCTTGCCGTTACTACAGCCATATTACACATTTTCGTTCGTTCTGTGAACAAAAGTGTGAATGTGTGTGACGTTTTACACGTGCAAATGTGTGCAGTGTTAACAAGTTCGATCGATTGTTGTTAGTTGTATGGTGAGTCAGTCTACGTACACGAAATGAAGCGCACGTTTCCCTCAATTGTTTCATCCAGCACCACCTCATTTAAGGATCGCGAAACGGTGTTTAGCAAAGTTTCCATAAATCCGCTCCACAGAGTCGTGTCCTTCTTGCTCATTTCCGTCTCTGCCCCTTCTATCGTCCTTTTCTTTCTCTCTCTCTCTCTCCCTCTCTCTCTCCTGGATACGACTTTCCTGTTGTTTTCGACGGCCGACGGGAGAAAAACCGCCAAGAAAGCCCGGTTTCCACTGAAATCGACGACGGACCGACAATCCAAAAAGCAGACACACCACGAACATTCACGTGCTTTTTCTTGTTTGCAGGCGTGTCTGGTGGAAACAACCAGCCGCGAAGTGCCTGTTTTAAACGGCACCAGTAGAATAGTAGACTAGTTAGTGCTTAATTAATCCACTAATTGAATTATCCGAGACCCCCTCCTCCCCCTGTTGAGAGAAGAATTTCCAAAGGGGACCTCGAAACCGACCATGGGGAAGCAGAACAGCAAGCTGAAACCGGAAGTGCTAGAGGACCTCAAGCAGAACACGGAATTTTCAGGTAAATCTTCGTTCGTTCACCGTTGAAATCTCTCGTTCGTTTTCGTTTCGTCAAATTGCAGAGATTTGTTTCCATTCCGCGACGTATTTGACGAAATTTTCGACAACGAAATATACCTCTCGCATATACCTACAAGTATATTTCAGTTGATAAATTTTAATTGAATTCTCTCACGTTCAAATGTAAATGTAAAATGTAAAATTTCTTAATGTCAAGTTCGTCGAAGAGTGATACGACGTTGACACGCAATGAGAAAATGTATCTTCTTCTTCTCTTTCGAAGATGCCGAGATTCAGGAATGGTACAAAGGCTTCTTGAAGGACTGTCCGAGCGGACATCTCAGCGTAGAAGAATTTAAGAAGATATATGGCAATTTCTTCCCTTACGGCGACGCTTCCAAGGTAAATCGGATTAACCTCTTGCGCTGGAATGACGTGCCACGCACGTCGAGAATTTTTTCTCCCAAAATTGCAATATTCTCTCAGTTTTAAAGTAGAATCCAAGCAAAACAAATAATAAATTTATTACTTCTCGATAATTTCTATCCAGCGATATCATATGATATCGACGAGTTCAAAAAGAAAGCGACGAGTTATTGTATACGGTTTGGTCATTCGTTATGGTCCGCAATAAGTTACCAGCGCAAGTGGTTAAACCTTCTAATAGACATAAGATCTACAGACTTAACCTCTTGCGCTGGAATGATGTGCCACGCACTTCGAAAATTTTTTGTCCCAAAATTACAATATTCTCTCAGTTAGTATATTTAAGTATAATACGGTTTGGTCACTCGTTATGGTCCGCAATCAGTTACCAGCGCAAGTGGGTAACGTCTTGCGCTGGAATGACGTGTCACGCACGTCGGGAATTTTTTGTCCCAAAATTGCAATATTTCCTCAGTTTTAAAGTATATTTAAGTATAACCCAGGCAAAAGAATTAATAAATTTATTACTTCTCAATAATTTCTATCCAGCGATATCATATAATATCGACGAGTTCAAAAAGAAAGCGACGAGGTATTGTATACGAGGTTTGGTCACTCGTTATGGTCCGCAATCAGTTACCAGCGCAAGTGATTAAATCCTCTAATAGACATAAGATCTACAGACTTAACCTCTTGCGCTGGAATAACGTGCCACGCACATCGAGAATTTTTTTTTTTCTCTCAGTTTTAAAATATATTTAATTATAATCTAGGCAAAACAGATAATAAATTTATTACTTCTCAATAATTTCTATCCAGCGATATCATATGATATCGACGAGTTTAAAAAGAAAGCGACGAATTATTGTGTACGATTCGGTCACTCGTTATGGTCCGCAATCAGTTGCCAGCGCAAGTGGTTAACATCGATCCTATTCATCCAGACGAACAGTGAAAATTTTTACCATCCGGCATCACGTTGTTGAAACGCAATGATTTACATTCGTAACAGTAATTATAATAATCACGAGCAGAGAGAGTACATGCGCGCATTGTCCTTGCGTTTCAACAGCGAGATTTCAGATCGCTCGATCGCACGATTATTCACGAATGTGTCACGCGTAGTTTGCAGAACACGTATTCAGAACGTTCGACGCGAACGGGGATGGAACAATCGACTTTCGAGAATTTTTATGCGCTCTTAGCGTGACGTCCCGTGGTAAACTGGAGCAGAAATTAAAGTGGGCCTTCAGCATGTACGACCTCGACGGTAATGGCTATATTTCGCGGCAAGAGATGCTGGAAATTGTGACGGTAAGGACGAAACGATTACTGGGACAAATCGCTGTTAACACAACAGAAGTCGCATGCTTTTTCGAAAGACAATTAAGATGCAAAGTAAGGTTTCCCTCGGAAGAGAAACTGTTTCATCGTGCTAGAAACAAAAGCATTCTTGCAGTTTCAAAACAGTCTCGATCCATCAGGAAACAACAAAAATATAACATCATCTTGATTGATCTTAAGAAATATCTATTATTGTTAACAACTGCTTGAAAGATAATGACATTGATGTAATTAAAGAAAAAGAAAAGAACGTGTAGTTTTTTCAAAAATTTACTCGTCAAATATTGACAGTTGAACACACGCATTGTTTGCTTGCCAGGCAATTTACAAAATGGTGGGGTCCGTGATGAAAATGCCGGAGGACGAGTCGACGCCGGAGAAGAGAACCGACAAGATATTCCGGCAGATGGATAAAAATAAAGACGGGAAATTGTCGTTGGACGAGTTTATAGAAGGAGCAAAAAGTGATCCGTCTATCGTGCGACTGTTGCAGTGCGATCCTAGTGCACAAGCTCAGTGAGGCCCTGGGCTGTTACGCAAGTATTACTATGTCATCTACATAACTAAACCGGGACCCGGTTCGATAATGTCCAGTGCCAGCAAAACAAATCGAGTGACGCTACTACGATCATAAAAGAAAGAGTAAACGAACTAGTTTCGCTTGGAAATCTATCAAAAAATAATCCACGATCATCATCCTTAGTAAACTCAGTTCTCTCATCGGTGATTTTAGAAGGACGTTTAATTTAACTTTGATTTCTTCCTCCCATAAGTTATTATTAATTTCATTTCGATGCGTCGTCGAACCATAACGATACGAAACATTTGATAGATCTTCACGCGAAACTGATCGCCGCGCGATTATTTTTACCGAAAACGATGCGAGCGAGGAGGAGGAGGAGGGACATTTACGAATTGGGCCGGTTCCCGAATTAAGTCCAGGGCCACTGGGCCCATGGCGCTTGCGCATACCGCAAGCTAGTCTACAAGACTAGTCCAGTCGCTCCGTCTCATAAACGGATCGGTTTTAACCACGAGTTTCATATTATATTTCGATAGTATTGATTCTCTCACGCTGCGCAGGGACGAACGACTTGTGAAAAATCATCTCGAGACACTCCCGGGGGGAGATGAGGGGATATATGTTGATTCGTAGTGAAGATTAAAATTCTGACCTGGATATTCTTTCATTTGACGATTCTCTCCAATGGTTTTTTTCCTCCTTGTAAAAAATTTACCAACGTTCGATTTCTAGTATTATATATGTTTTTTTTTTTAAATTACTGCTTTCAACTGTACGTTTACGTGTTCACGAATTTCTACGGTAGGTAGCTCGTGTTTACAACTATACTCTCGAGGAAATCATCTTCAGCACAAGCGTCCGTCACACGCGGCCGAGAAAGGTAAATTAATTTCCAAACCGCGTTACACAATTTTTGTAAGCCGTTCTGCAAACTGCATATTTTATATTAACAAGTAAATGGTAAACGTATAAGTAACGGCTCGTCGTATTCAGTAGCAGACCGCCACCTTTTGAATTTCTCCAGCGCACGCTGTTGCAAAACCGTTGTTTGATTACGAAAAGAAGAAAGACTTGTTTCATGTGGTGTATATCGTACTATTATTATATATTAGCAACGAACGCAAGCAATTGATGGTCACCGAAAAAAAAAGAAAAAAAGGTCATTGGAAGAAGCATGGAGCCTCTTGTTCAACGAAAAATCATCCCCTTTCTTTCCCCTCTGGGAAACCTGTGCTCCTGAAATGTTCTCTTCTTTGCGGACACGCGACATTTGCTCAAACGGCCATTATGTTTCATTGATATCGATGAACGGCAAAAATACGTAACGAAAGACTGTGAGAAACTGTTGTTGTGCATTGGCATGTTAAACCGTCGCTTGTATGTATAAATAAAACGTAACGCGACATTTTGCAGCTTTAAACTGCTTTCTTCCGTTCTCTCTGACGCTCCAGAAAAAAAAAAAAAGAAAAAACATTCTCGTAAAGTCAAACGAGAAACGTTTCGTTCCGAGGTGTCTGCCTTCCATGACCTTTGTCACGTGCAATTGCTTTATTGATACACGTTGATTTTGATAGGATAAATTCAGCTAGAAGAGAGAATAGAGTTTAAAGAAAAAAGAAAAAAAAAAAGAATCAATCGTTTTCTCGTAAGGAGGGGCGGGAGTGGGAAACTGTGAAGTATCATTGCCTATCCAAGTAACTGAACTCGTCGCGATTTTCAGTTGCTCCAGAGCTAGCTGGAAAACCCACCAAAATTTCGAGCCGGATGAAAGATTTGCGGGAAAAAGAAAAGGGGAGGGGGGGGGGGAGAGGGAAGAGGGGAAAGAATGAAAGAGAAAAGAAAGAGGATAGGGGAGGGAAGCCGGAAGGATAAATCGCTCACGCGCATGAACTGTTTTAGAGATTTATTTTTACGAATGCGTATGGTCGCGTGTACGTGTGCGAACATGCTATGTGTGCGACTAAGTATTTTAAAATGTGCATTTGCGCGTATGCATAACGAATGGAGAGAAAGCGGAGAATAGCAAAGCGAGATAGGAGAGAGAACACGAATGGGATAGTAAGATAGAAAAGTTTATATAAGGACGACGACAAACCTAGATTTAAAACGGAGATGAGAAACGGAAACAACTGAAACGCAAAAAAAAAAAAAAAAAAAAAAAAAAACGAGGAAGTAGTAGCGAGGCAAACGCGAAATCTCCCGTTTTAGCTATTGTTCAATTAGGATCGGTATTTTTTTTTTTTTTTAATACACCCTTGCATATATGTATACGCGACGTTGCGACTCTGTTCATTTTTTATCAGTGATACGACGCAACAGTTTTTTGCTGGTCGGGTTGATTTGTAACAAATTCTTTTTTTCGTTCTTGCGTTCTAGAAGAAGATAAGGAGCTCTAATTTACGTTTTTTTGACGAATCTCGAGAAAATTCATCGTTGTTTATTTTTCTTTTTTTTTTTTTTTTTTGTGATATGACTTTTCGTGATTTGTCGAGATAGTACAACTAATTAATTTATTAATTTTTTAATTCCCCTGTTCTGCTTGATATCACTGAAAGAAATGGCTGACGTATATATATATGTATGTATGTATGTATGTATGTCATGATTTTGCACTTGGTCGTTACACTGGCAGTATTGTTTTACAAAAGAGCAACATATTATAAAAAGATACAAAAAAATACGTACACATATACACCCGACATATATACAGATATATGTGTATGTATATATTTATATCTCGATCACGTATGTATACTTATTATACTTTCTAAGATGTACATTCATTCATCTTGTGCTCATTAATAATTAAGGATAAAGACTACATAGTTATATCTTTTATCCATATAGTCACTGTATAAATTAAATAACCTCATTAAAGTTAATATGATAAGATTCTAAAACAAATCTTGAATTTTTCTCGCTACTTCAATAGGACAGAAATAGTAACACGGATGGGGAAAGAGCTAGTAAATTATAAAGAGAAACGACTTTGCCTTCTGAAATATACAAAAAAAAGTGAAAGAGAAGGAAACACAAAGAAAACTCTATTTAGATAAAGTAGGACCGATATTTTACATTCAGTACTAGTTGACACACAAAATGTAATTATTGTACCTTAAACCAGGAGAAGCAATAAGCAGGAGAAGAAAAAAGAGAAAAAAAGAAAAAAAAAGTAAATATCGCGACTAAATTAGCACGATTATTGAAAAGTCGGTGATGTCGTGTAATTTTTATAATTTCACAGTCGCCCAATATTTAACAATTTTTCTAACAGTTTTTTTATGAAAAGAACACGTAAGATGGATATTAAGTCGTGTCAATTTGTCAAAACACGAGTAGTATTAGTCAGTTAATAATTGAAAAAAATAGAAGGAAGACACATTTTACGATGAGAATTAAAAACTATTAAATTATATAATAATAATAATAATTAAAAAGTTCTATAAACGTACCGCTGTATATATTAATTCCTTTTCTTTTTTTTCTTACTACATGTGTTGTTCCATTAATTTATTCAAGAAAATTTTATTTTCTGTCGTTTTATTTTATAACGATTTTAATTTATTGTTAAAATCATTCTCAACTTACGTTATTTTATATGTGACTAGATAATATTAAATTTATGTATAAAAAAAAAATGATTTTTTGTTAATTTATTTTTAATTTACACGATAATTTCATTAATTACAATCTAATATTAATAAAAATTTCAATCTGATAGTTTATTTATTCAATATCTATTAATCTGCTTCTACATCGTTTTTAGAAAGTTTTAGAATTGAGCCATTAAATAATCAATTAACTGACATCAAACTAACAACAGATATATGCACAAAATAATTTAAAACAATGTAAAATGTATGTATTTAAATACACAAAAATCAGAAATGTAACAAGTGTATATAAATATACTATACTGTATTGTAAACGTGAAAGTTTTAAAATGTGACAAATGCAACAAAAGTAATTTGTTTGATCTTAATATTCTTTCCATAATTATTAATATATATATATATATATGTGTGTGTGTGTATATAAATACATTTTGTTTCTATTAATGATTATAACAGTTGTCGAATGCTTTCAATTATTATACCATCAAACATTAAAAGAGTGGAGTGTTTTGCGATCATTAGAAATTAAAATACAGAAGTCGATTTACGTTTAAAAGGAAGGATAAAAAAGATACTACTACAAGATGGGTATGAAAAATAATTTTTTCCCTTTTTTTTTTGTTTTCTTAATATTAGATACATTATATATATTAAGCGATCATCAAGAGTTTCTTTGAAGAAAATTGTATCTTATGAGAGAGCGCTTGTAAACTTTGTTGAGTTTATTATTGAAAATTAATTGTACCACTGCACCATGCTGATTTGTTATAACCCAAGTCAATTGAAAAATCACGTGTTACATACTACTGTTCAAATATGTGTTACAAATATTGTTATTGAAAAAAATAACATTTTTATGAATTTCTATGCCGAAATAATGATTGCAATTAGTAAAATAATACTGAAATAGCATTTACTGCTCGTGTTTGTCGTGATATTTCTTCCTAAACTGTATAATTTCTTCCTAAAGATAAGATGTATAAAATTCAAATTCTAATGATTCTATCTAATGATTTTAACACCTTCCTATAACATTTCATGGTTTAATATTTAAGAAAAAAAAAAAATTTAAAGATTATGCCTGAACTCTTATATATAGTAATCTTAATACTTTCTCTCTCGCTCTCTTTCTCTCTCTCTCTCTCTCTCTCTCTTTCTCAGCATGAAAAAAAGGTAACAATTTTTTCCTACATAAATTTAACGAATGTCAACATTTGTTGCATATTAAAATTTATCTATACTATATTATGATTTTCGCCTAAGATTTTAATATTCCTAATAAATTAGAAATTGTTCTCTAGAATATCAACAGTATAACAGATTATACTAATATTTCTTGTACCAAGGATTTATCACAAAAAATTTAGTAATACTTTTAACAAGTATAGTTGGTCTTATTAAAAGTTCATGCCTTGAAAACTTTCTGCACTAACGAAAATCTTCCAATACCTATCTTAATAATCATCATGAGGGAGTCGTATAGTAAAGTTATATATTCGATATGTACATATACATATATATTATTCAAAGCAGTATTGTTTCAATTTACAAAAATTTGAACATTTAATTTATATAAATCTTACTGTTTTTTTTTTTTTTTTATTGTTACAATATCATTTTGCTTCTTATACAAAAATACTTACAGAACATGATATTTCTTTAGCAATGAATAAAAATATCCCCTGTGTCATATACATAAATCAATAAATATGTTAATACGTAAGGAAATGTGAAGATTTGAAAATAATTATGTGAATAATTTTAAGCCATTTATTGTTGTACAAGTGTTTGTTGCTTTCATAAGTTGTGGAATAATAATTGAAACTAATAAATAAACTATACGGCTCAAATTTTAACAAATGAAAAAATTAATAGACAAAGTCCTTCGAATGCACGCCGTAAAAATTGTAATTCTATACCGGTGTTTCTCTCAAACACTAAGAATAGATGTTCTCCTATTGATGATCAGTGTTGTATTTCTCTTCTTTTGCTAATTAATTATACTTATTCATGAACTTATTAACTCTGTAATCCTCTGTAATATCTTCAGAAATTAGATACATTTAAAATCTTTCATCTGTCTTTTTTTCTTTTTTTTTTTTTTTCTTAAGTAGAATTTCACTGTTCTTGATTACCTATGGCTCAATATCTTTCATTAGTTTAAGTCTTTATGTATTTATTGGCGCTAAGTGTGTACGCGCAGTACAAAATGTATATTTAATTATTATTGAAATCATTTTGTCAAACTTTTGCCTAACCACTTCTGTATCGGTATCTTTGTAAAAAAGTTTATGTAAAACGTTAATTGTTAAATACGAACGAAGATATATCTAGAAAGAAAAGTCACGTTAAAAATAATAAAATAATCAATAATCATCGATTATAAATACTGAAGTGGCTCATGCAAAGGTGGAATATTAAATTTTTATATTATAGTATCCTTAATTATAGCGAATAATTAATTAATTCAATATGTTATATTAATTTATAATCTATGTAACAATATATAATATAAGATACTAATATTGTACAAAAGAAAGAAATTAAAAAATCAAAGCACAATTCATCGTTTGTTAAGTTACGTTGAGACTAGAACACCGGTAAAATATTTGTGTACAATATTAGTTGTAAGACATGAAATATTAATTTGCTTTATGCCTTAGACATATTTACTATAAATTAAAACAATAGTTTGTCATAAGTAATGGTTATTAATAGTGGTTTATTATTATAAATAAGGATAAAATAATTTGTGTATCAATTAATTATTACATTAAAGTGTTGATATTATACTCGTTCAACTTGAGTTTTAATATCATATTTCTACGAGTCACATTTCACGATGTTTCTCAATTTTATGGTTATAATCAGTCATAAAATGAACAAAACTTATCACATAAATTACAAAATTGTATATATTTTATTTTATACAGAAGTATATAATTAATTTACTATTTAACTTAATTAAAAGAAGAATGTTCCAGAATTTGATGTCACTGCATCGTATATAAAGGTATTATGAACTGGTTTATATTGATTTGTAACAAATTTAATAACTTCTTGGGCTGCGAGGCCGCCTAAAAATGCAGATACCGAATGTAACTCTGCACCACCGAAACGACAAAACTCGTGTACGTAATCGTCTTTTATTAATGGTCCACATCCCCATTCATTCAGTAACTTTGTTATGCATGTCTACGCAATAAAATGTAATTATATACAACATTTACATTTTTTTCGATTAATATTATTATTTTATATGTGAAACATACTTTAAGCTTAACTATATCAGGTTCTACTTGATCATCAAACTCCCCAGGGTACGAGTTATACTCTGTTTGAAATTTTTCAACTCCTCTAAGAACGACATAATAAATCATCATACTCTCTGGATTTTCCAAACATTGTACTGGAAAAAAGAATATAAAATCATTAATTTACGTATATGTACATGATGTTTAATATTTCGAAAATTCTGCAGTAATTTTAATCGTGTTGATTTCAAACTTTTTACAATACCTATATTGCTTGCATCAAATATTTTTGAATCATATTCATCTGCAATACACGTTCCCCTTGCTACGTGTATATTTAAAGCGTGTCTACAGAACAGCTTGACGTCTCTTTCGGGAATGGAATCTGACGATTTTCCTAACTGTCGTAATAATTGCAAAGTACGCCGCCATACTGCTTCTGCGTCAGCTATCGCTTGTTTGTGATAACTGTAATAAATAAATTTATCTAAATATACTAAAAAAAAAAAACAATATTTTTGTAATAAACGTTTCGTGCCGAGAGATCGTACATTTGCTGAAGTGTTATGTATTTTTCCGTATCCGCTGTCATGTCAGGCAAAGTACCTTTCAATGGTAATAATCCGCCCCCTTCATTCTCAACAAAATCTTTCACTGCCTTAGCTATAATCCAAAATGAACTACTCTGAAAGTATATTAAATTAATTTAAAGTTATATTACTTACTGCTACAACAGTACTTTTTTCTAGTACCTTAGCGGTTAAATTAATACACTGATCATCGTTAAGAACATTTGTTACATTCTCTGGAATTTCAGTACATCCTACGCACGTGTTAACAGCTTTAACAGCCTCTTCAAAATTCTCCTCGCTGTTTGAAATATCATTCTCGTCCCTTCTCATTCCTTCTCTTATCATTTGTTTTAACTGATTTTTCTCCTTGTAACTTTTTGGCAACTCTCCTTTGCTTAAAATCCATTTTTCTAAAAATTTGTATAACACAATTAAGTACGGCACATGAGAATGATCTTTGAAACTGAGTGCATCTAAGTTCACAGAATCGACATGCTTCTTTAGCGTCTCGAATGGTTTGTCTAAACGTAAATCTGGAATCTCATTATCTGGATGTGTTTCTATGACCATATGCTCCTTTACTTGAATCCTCATGTATGCGATGAATCCTATAGTTCTGCATACTATTAAAGGTATATTTAACTCCCAAAGTTTTTGCGACAGAAGAACTAAAGATCTGACAATTTTATTTTGTTAGAATTTAATCTGAATCAAATTCCCATGACAATTTATCGTTTATAACGATCCTTACTTCTCAGCTAAACAAGTAGCCACAACAACAGTAAAACTGTTGAAAAAATCTGGACTATTGTACAAAATTTGATCAGGCTCCTCGTCTATATAGTCACCTCTAACATCTGAGTTCAGTTCCAAAAGCATTTGCGTTGCTACCTGCGCTCTTGATTTTCCCACACTGTCTGTTTCTAGAAAGAAACTATTCAAAAGATACACAATAGCTACATTGAAGTTATCTGTTGTACAACTTTTTTTCATCTGTATAATTACTAACACATACTTTGCCCCGATGTCTTCACTGGTAACTTTCTTCCCATCCACAATTGTAAATGCTCCAATACTTGGTAAGACTAAGGACTTCAAAATTTCTGTGCCAAGAGCTGTTGCATTTATGATACAAACGTGCGCTCCTTCCAGTGCAGTTTGACCGTGATCGCCCCATAACCTATATATATATTAATATTACACAACATAAATTATTTTACGTTAAAGTATACCATTATCTCCAATTAACTTTTTAATTCGGAAATAGTACATATATGTACACCTGTGTGTGTGTATATGTGCATACATGTATATGTATAAGCAATATATACCTCAATTGTCTATCGTATTTTCTATTTCTTTCAGATTGCTCTGGTGATTTCGGTGCTGGAGACGCCATAGGAATAAATGCAAATGAAACACTAGATTAATTATACCTTTTAGTCAAACTGACATAAGAACAACAATCACAAGTTTATGCATGTATGAAACTTGAACGAATCGCCACGAATAAAACAGTTTTATAGATAGATGGTTCGTAAGTATTAATTAACAAAAAATACTATACTACCTGTGATATTAATTATACAACGAGGTTGATTATGATATATTAGTTTACAATGCTCAATAGTGTATATCAATAAAACAATGTATTGTAAATGGATTTATAAAATTATCATCTAATTCTGTAAATTGAATATTCCATACAATTGTAGAATTCTGTACTTCACGCTGTGCGTAAATAATTACAATTAGTTATTTTTAATAATAAATTAAATGAAGACTCGCGTCAGAAACGGCGCGAAACTTGTTGCGCGTCTTTTCAAGTATATTCAGGAATAATTTTCATTCGACTACTGATAGTGCAACTACCAAAAATTTAATATTTCTCGTGTTGGAACTTTTCGATTTATGGGGGAAATTTCAAATCTTTATTTGTACATTTTACAGGTCGAAAGGAATTTAGGGTCTAGAAATAAAGATACAGTCGCAAAAGTTCGTAAATTAATCCTTTTTAATAGTTTTCTCGGCAAATGAAAATTTATTTAATTTATAGACATTGAAATACTAGCGCCGCGTAGCGGTGAAATGACGGAACTAAAACCTATTGCTGTCCTCATCGCACACTACTATCTTCCTTCTCTCTCATACTGCCTGAGTCTATCCTTATCGCACACTGATGCTCTCCTTGTCTACCGATAAGGTAGAGAAGTGCTGCCATCTAAGCGCCTCGCAATTCCGACTGGAACTAAAAGGGTAAAATAGAAAAATCCGATAGATGGCAGTACATTGTCCGGCCAGATAATTCCAAATTTTTTACCGATAGATGGCAAGACGTGTCTCGTTCGTAATGAGAAGCGCAACAGTGTGCAACAAAGACAGACTTATGCAACGTGATAAATAAGAATGAGTATACGACAAGGACAGTAATAGATTTTGGTTCCATCGGCTCACCGCTACGTGGCGCTAGCGGTTCAGTGTCACGAATTAACTAAATTTTCAATTGCAAAAAAAGCAAAAAGCTATTTAAAAGGATTAATTTACAAACTTTTACTATTCTGATCTGTCCAATTAGAATCTTGACTTGTCTCCTTCATTCTGTTTCATTTCCTAAATACGCGTTCGTAATATACGTTCGTAATATACGTATGAGTTACATTTAGTAATGATATTCTTTTGGGAATGGTTTGATTGTGCCGGGAAGTGAACGAAAATATGTGTAACTTCGAAAAAATTGTACACGATGATTAACGAACTTTTGTCGTGTAACTTTTCAAATAACGTATTACATTTCGAAATAACAGAAATAGTTATATTCCTTGAGATTATAGTCGGTCTGTGATATATTAAATTTTTTTTTTTATATGGGAAATTGTCTGTCGTAATTGCTACAGAATTTTAAAATAATACGTAAGATTGCGATGAAGTGCGTGCAGCATAGTGTTCTGTACTTCATTTGTAACGAATATAAACAACATGTTCCACGGAATTTACGTTGCGAGCCTCGTTTATTATATTGCGAATCGAACATATATCATGTTTTTGAACGGAATGTTTGTAGTTAGTTTTTAACTCACTGTGAGAATTTTCAATTTTTTATGAAAGAAAAAAAATGGTAGGTAACTAGTGTATTGAAATGCAATCGCAAAAGCATCTTCAATTAACTTTGGCAATAATCAAACCACATGTTGTTAAATCTCCTTTTGTGCTCCAGGTAAGAAGACATAACCTAAATTTAATTTAACCTGGTAACCTAAATTTTGTCCAACGTACGTGTGTGTATACGTACGTGTGCAAATGTAGAATTTTAAATGATAAGAAAGCGGGATTGTCAAAACGATTGGTTTCCAAAAAAAGAAAAAAAAAATAATGGTAATAATGATTATATTTAAATGTCATTGCAATTTCAGAAAATTCGAGACTTAATAATTGACAACAATTTAAAAATTGTCAGATCGCACAGGACGATTATCACTTATAAGGAGGCAGAATTGTTTTATGAAGAACACAAAGAAAAGTTCTTCTACAATCGTCTTCTGACATTTATGTGTAGTGGCCCATCAGATATTCATATCTTGGCAGATCACAATGCTATTGCTAAGTGGAGGCAATTAATGGGCCCTACAAAAGTGTATCAGGCACAGTATATTGCACCTGATACAATTCGGGGGATGTATGGTCTGTCAGATACAAAAAATGCAACTCATGGCTCTGGTATACTTTTCAATTTATGTTTTCGTTTGTGTTATTTGTGTGTCATACGAAATAATTGTTCTTTTAGATTCAGTTGCATCAGCGGAAAGAGAAATAAACATATTCTTTAGTGATTTCAATATTAAAAAATGGTATGAACATGATGAAAAATACTATAATTTAGGACAAATTCATTTTGATCCAGTTGCCTTTTTGCATACTATTGATACGAGTTTCGTAAACACTAATAAAGAACAAATTACAAAGTAAATATTGTAAATAAAGTGCTCGGCTTTTATTAAATATTCAATAATATAGAATTTTACAAAAATTGTATATATTATATACAATTAAACATAAGTATATATATATACACATATAGACATATCTATATCTACATAATACAATTCAACAGTTGACAAGTAGTCAGAAATACAGCATAAGTTGAAAATGATAGTGACATTATGTGACAATAAGTACACAATATCCAAAGACTAGTATAATTAAAACAGAGTAAGTAATATAAAAAAAAAAGTAATACAACTATGTACAATAAAAAATCAAAATATTGCAATTGAAAGCAATATTCTACACTAATAATATAAGATGTAATTTATCTTTAATTATCAATAATTTATAAATTACATTAGAAATTCAAAAAGTAAAAGAAATTTTTGAAATGTTTCTCTTAAATCCTGCTTGTACTGTAATTAGTCAATGACATTAAAACCTCATTGTGTATTTGGGGCAATTTTATTCCCTTTTTCTTGATTTGAAATGGAATATATAAAAAATAATGTATATTTAAAATATGTAAATAACATTAAAATTCTAATGTTTTCAAATGTTCTTTTACTTTTTGATTTTCAAAATATAAATCTATTGGATTTAACAAATTTTACAAATTGGCTAAGCTCCATTAAAAAGTGAAGGAAATCATTTAGGAGTTCTTTTTGCTACTCTATTCCTGTTTCTTATACATTAAATTATATAATTTTATATAACAAAAGAATAATTTAGGCATTCATTTTTACATAAACTTTTGGTCTTGAAAAAACTTTTATCCCTTCTTCTAATTTATTCAGTTGCTTTTCTATTTCTATTTTTCGTCTCTGCGCCCTAAGGGTATCCACTTTTATGGGCATCATATTTAATTCATTTACGTAATCTTGATAACCTGCAATGGTGATATTTCTTTAAACACAATTCTAAATTAAAGAACTTACTTAATTTTTAAATTACATACTTTTTTTTAACATTTGCAATGTTTCCTTGCGCTCATTATCAGGTAATGGGACATGACCATTTGGACAATTGGGATCTAATTCTTCTTGTTTAGCTTTTTGTATCTTTTCTTGAATTTCCTTTCTATTTTTAATATATCTAAAAATACAATTGAAAGTAGTATTTGCAAATTATAAATATTAAAGTATTAATAATCACTATTTTCGATTAAAATATAAAATGTAATAATCAATGAATAACATATGTAACTTATGTACTTTGGAACTACACCCATTCGATAGTTTGTAGGAAGATTATTATTGTTGCTGTTGTTGTTATTGTTGTTGTTAGTATTGTTACTGATGTTGTTATTCACTTGAGTTGTCGTCTTATTAGTTGCAAAGCTATGTTCTTTGTTCAGTTTAATAAAATTTACTTCTTCTTTAGATGATAAAGATTTGGAATTTTTTGTATCACTTTTATTTTTTTTATTCTGTGTAGTTTTTTCAAAAACTTGAATATCTCCTTGATTTAAAGGTGAATTTGTTATACTCTTTGAAGATACATTAATTTCTTCATTTGTATCATTTTTCGTTGCTTCATTACAATTCAAATATTTTTTTGAAGGATATCTGTCCAAAAAAATTATTATTATTAGCAAACATTTACATATATTATAGTTACTTTATTCCATTATAACTTCATAGTGTCTATAAGAAAACAAAAAAATGAGTATACTAGATCAACAAGAAACATTGCTTCATACATAAGACAATATTCAACTACTTTAGAAGTCTAGAAAGAATATGCAAATGTACATACTTAACTATCCCTTCAGAATATAAATTCTCAATTTCATTTGTGTCCAATGTCTGAATACCTTGATTTTTAACTTTAACTTGAACTTTTATGTTGTTATCATTATCCCCAACAGATTTATATGGAATATCAGGATCCAATGAAACATTCTCATGCAATTTTTGCCTAGATTTATGTAATTCTTTATGTCCTGTCTTTCTTTCCTTAACTAACAAATTGTTACTTGTCGAATATATTGTCTTTTTCATAAGAACATTATTTTTGTTTAAAGTTGATGCACTTGTTTTCTTACATGGTTCTTGATGTTGATCTAATTTAGTATTTACATTTATATTCACATTAGTATCGTGTTTTCTCATTCGAAGATTTGTGTTGACTTTGGGTAAAACATAGTTGTAATTATTACTACAATTAGCATTATTAGTTGTCTTTCTTTGACTGGATACTTGTGATTTTTGTGTTTCTTCTGTTTCTTTATTAGCGTGCAACTGACGAAGATTTTTTACATTTTCGTATATGAAATTTTTTCCTTTTATTGATTCTAGAAAGAGAAAAGATATTAATCATTAATTTGAAATAAAGTACAAAGCACAAGTACAAAATTTTTTTTTTTATTTTATTGCCGGTGAATAATTCCAATAACTGACGTACTTGAATCAGGGAAAATGCCTTTTAACGTTGTCATATCCAATTGTCATTTAATACTATTGCCTAAATGTAATTTCTTTTTATTTCTTCATTAATCCATGAAATGTAATATTTCTAACCGAGTAATTTTTAATGCATAATTTAAATTCTTTCACTGTCGGCGTTACTAAATAAACAATGCTGTTTACAAAACGAAACTTATCACATATGAAAATGTTTAGAAACCCAGTGTAGCCAACATGACTTGATTTTACTTCACTCGGGAATTCATATAAAATTTTTAAAATAATTTCCCTAAATGTAAATTAGATTGTAACTTCATTTTAAATAAGGAGAAATTTCACCTACGTAACATTATTATTATTTTTAACATGTTTAATATTATTGATAATTATTGTTAACATGTTTTCATTGAATCAATATAGTTGCAAAGCACATTCATACTTTGCAAGATCGAATAATGTTTCAATTAATTTTTTAGATAGTCTCTGTTACAACATAAATTTATAATATGTATTATGCTGTTATGTTTATACTATCCAATAGTAGAATCAGTTGAAATAAATAAAACATGATCAGAATCTAGATGAACAGCTTCGATTTGCAATCTTGAGATGTTGCAAAATATGAATAAGCTTCTAAATTTTAAATTTCTAAATAAATAAAGGGAAAATTGATCAACCAAAAATAACAGACTTAGGAGAGTAGTATAAATCTATTTTTGTACAATAATGAGTACAAACTCGTTCCTGAAAATCATAATTCATTAGTAAGTACGTGCTAACCAATAGCTGAAACTGCAAATCACGTGATCAATCTCTACTGATTTGATTCGTTGGATGGATTACAGCGATAAATTGAATATACTGCGTTTTTAAATTAATTTTGATGGAACGAGATCCTGCATGTTACATTTAAATCAAGTAGGTCATATCATAACAAGCGTGATACAGATGGTACGATAAATTCTATTAGAATTTAGACGATAAAATGTTATTATTTTGTACTGTTTCTGGTACTGTGTTAGTTAAAACGAAGTTAAAAATGACGCTGTTCTTAAATTACTTTACAATTTGTCCATTTACACTAAAAAGTGTAATTTTATTAATATTAAAAATTTATTTAAACATATACTATACTTAAGTATCGCGTACGTATTTTTAATTTGTGTACTTTCGAATTTCTTAAATGCAATGATTTCATTATAGTTAAAATGTTCACCAAAGTATGTTCACAATTGTGAACGTTTGTATTACGTGTAATTCCAACAATTTTCTCCATCAAATATATTATTAACTTTTCAAACTATTATTCGCAAGTAAATCATATATAAAAAAAAAGAAAATAATATTAATCACTTTCAATCAGAATTTAAACAATACGCGATTGTAAAGATCGCTGAACTGAAGAAAATGCTTGTATATCTTTCTTTCGGATTTCAACAACAATTGCTCGAGCAATTATTAAAAGAGACGAGTAAAATAAATAACACATTTTGACTTGACAGAATGTAACGAAGCATGCGGTGTTTTTTTCACCGAGCGTACATACCCTATCGCTCGAAGCCTCCCTCTCTTTGATCGACCGTTTCGTCATTTCTGCGTCGTTTCATTACATTTGAACGAACAACGGACAAACGACATGGTATCGTTTCCTCTCACAGAATTCGAACGGGCTGCCGAAAGTGTTCTTCAGTGTCAGTTGGGACGAAATCGTTTTTTTCTCGCGTGAAGCTTTGACTGTCTTTTGAAACGGCGTCCCGCACGGCAAAGTGACTCTAGCCTCTGGAGAGATGGATAGTTCACCGTGTAGGCATCAATTTACGATACAAGCCTGAGACAACGCGCAAACGAAGAAAAGGATAAAACTTTTTTTTCGCGTAAGTTCGGTGATTCGCTTGCCTCGAGTGAACGACGAAAGTGACAAGGAAGACGGCACGTTTCGATAATCGGTCGAGTCCCGGTCGGTTTATCGACTGCGGTGGTTGGTCAACGCAGCCTGAAGAGAGCTCGACAGTGGTTTTTATACTTGTGTGGATTTCTGTTGCCGACGCGATTCCGCGTTTTTATTACAATTCTGTTGCAGGTAAGTCGTGGATACGAATCTCTAACGTAGCGTCGCGCACCGAATTTTTCTCAAATGTTGATCGTGGATAGGTGTGCATTGTTTTCGAAAAAAAAGGGTCGCATGTCAAGTTGACGTCGTTCATCGCGTTAGCCAATTACACAGAAAATGTTTTCCCGCCATATTAGTAAAACTCGGTACGAAGTTTTCGGTAAATATTTATCTACTTTTTGATCAGATATGGATTCGCGTTGTCGTATTCCTTCGGCGTACTCGCGTTCGTCTTTCCTTGCCGTTTGTTTCTGTGTTGTGTTTGCACCGATTCGATTCGGTCGCGTCTCGCGTCCTGGCCAAACGAATTGTAAATTGAGTTGTAAATCTTTACGTTATCAATCAAGCGAATCGAAATTTTGTTCGATTTTGCTATGTTGATATTCTGTTTTTATTTAATGTCGATAATATTGGTAATAGTGCGTTTTACTGTGTAATGTGGTTACATGATCTGTTTACAAATAAAGAGTGTACGTAGAGAATGTTACTGTCAATTGAAATTAAAGTTTTGTATGATAAGTAACTCACGCATGTATTTGTAAAACGAAACAAATAAAAATGTAGGTAACTATAGCTTGAATTTCAATTGTAATGAATTGTGATATTAGGTTGTAGAATTTTATGATCATAAAAAAGATTTCAAGATTTTTGTTTCACAATAAATCTACAATATACCTCAATGTTTATATCTTTTAAAATTGTGTTGTTTGATCATTTTCTTATTTACAATAATAATAACAATAACATGCATATAACGTTAAGTATTATGTACATTTGTTCAATGAAATTTTCACATATTGCAGTTACGTACAAAAACTTTATGCAAAAATGAGTGCAGCAGTAGAAAATGGAAGTAGTGATGCATCAAAGAAGAAAACTATCGAAGGCATATATCAAAAGAAGTCTCAATTAGAACATATTTTATTACGTCCTGATACCTATATTGGTTCTGTTGAACCAGTAACAGAAATAATGTGGGTTTATGACAAAGAGAAAGAAGCAATGGTACAAAGAGAAATAAAATATGTTCCCGGATTGTATAAAATATTTGATGAAATTTTAGTAAACGCGGCAGATAATAAACAGAGAGATCCTACTATGGATGCAATTAAAATTGAAATTGATCCGTAAGAATGACTTAATATTATTTGCTTAAAATATGTAAAACATCAAAACATAGTATATAATGATAATAATTAATGAATAATAAATTTTATTTGTAGAGAAAATAACGTTATATCTGTATGGAATAATGGCAAAGGCATTCCAGTGGTAATTCACAAAGAAGAAAATATGTATGTTCCTACAATGATATTTGGCCATTTGTTAACATCATCGAATTATGACGATGAAGAAGAGAAAGTAACAGGTGGTAGAAATGGCTATGGTGCCAAACTATGTAACATTTTTAGTCATCGTTTCACTGTGGAAACTGCATGCAAGGAATACAGGAAATGTTTAAAACAAGTAATTCATTATAAAAACATATTTGAAATAGATGTTTGTTGTTTTTATAAAATGTATGTAGGCAATGTGATTTCATTTGTAGACGTGGAGTAATAATATGGGAAGTGCCAGTGAGCCTAGAATTAAAGACTTTTCTGGAGAAGATTTTACAAAAGTCATATTTTCACCAGATTTATCGAAATTTAAGATGCAGTCGTTGGATGATGACATAGTTGCTCTTATGTCTAGAAGAGCTTATGATGTAGCAGCTTCTACTAGAGGTGTTAAAGTCTATCTTAATGGTACTAGGATTCCTATTAAGAATTTCAAGGACTATGTTGACTTCTACATTAGGGGTAAAGAAGATGAGTTTGGCAATCCTTTAAAAGTTGTATATGAGAATTGTGGACCTCGCTGGGAAGTAGCCGTTGCTTTATCTGACAAAGGCTTTCAGCAAATGTCTTTCGTAAATAGTATTGCAACAACAAAGGTAATAAATATAATAAAATAAAAATTTAACTTTTTTATATTTAATAAGAAGAATTGAACAAATTTTTTTGCAAACAGGGTGGCCGTCATGTGGACCATGTCACAGAATTAATAGTGAAACAATTAACAGAAACATTAAAAAAGAAAAATAAGGGTGGAGTAGCAATTAAATCATTCCAAATAAAAAATCATTTATGGATTTTTATTAATTGTCTTATCAATAATCCCACATTTGACTCACAAACTAAAGAAAATATGACATTGCAAGCTAAAAGTTTTGGATCAAAATGCTCTCTTAGTGAAAAATTTGTCACAGCTGTAATTATTAAACTAACTGTAACAGATGATAAGATACTTTTCTATATATGTAATTAAACTGTGATTTATATGTAGGTAACGAAAACTGGAATCGTGGAAGCAGTTTTAACGTGGGCGAAATTTAAAGCCGACAGTCAGTTACAAAAATTGGGGCCTAAGTCAAAGCAAAGAAAATTGCAAGGTAAATTGCATGTAAATATATTGTGTAAATGAGTTTAGTTATTTACACAATTTTGTATTTCAGGTATACCAAAATTAGAAGATGCTAATGATGCTGGGACTAATAAATCTTTGGAGTGTACACTTATATTAACTGAGGGAGATTCAGCTAAAACAATGGCTGTATCTGGACTTGCGGCGATAGGTAGAGATAAATATGGCATATTTCCTCTAAGAGGTAAATAATATGAATACAATAATGTAAATGAGACCTATTTGAATTGCATATAATGCTATTTATAAACATTTTCAACTTTAGGTAAAATTTTGAACGTAAGAGAAGCAACACATAAACAAATTTTAGAAAATGCAGAAATTAATAATTTAATAAAAATTCTTGGGCTTCAGTATAAAAAGAAATATGAAACTCGAGAAGATTTAAAAACGTTACGTTATGGAAAAATGATGATAATGACTGATCAAGATCAGGTTAATCTTTTTATAAATTTAATATTTCCATTTGCATATTTTAGTTACATCATAATTGTATCAAATATATTCATTTAGGATGGTTCCCATATCAAAGGCTTGTTAATTAATTTCATTCATCATAACTGGCCATCATTATTGAAATTAAATTTTATAGAGGAATTTATCACGCCTATTGTTAAAGCTACAAAAGGAAATCAAGTATTAAGTTTCTTTTCAATGCCAGAATTTGGAAAGTGGAAGTCAGAAACGGAAAATTTTCATACCTATAAAATCAAATACTACAAAGGTTTGTATTTTTAATATTTTATAAATTTCTCTTGTTTTCTTGTTTGAAATACGTAAATATATTTTGATATTCTTCATTCTTTATTAATATATTTTTTTTACAGGTTTGGGTACTTCCACTGCTAAGGAAGCAAAAGAATATTTTGAAAATATGACTAGACATAGAATACGATTTAGATATGATGGAGATCAAGATGATCAAAATATCATTATGGCTTTTAGTAAGAAATGTGTCGATCAACGTAAGGATTGGTTAATGAACCATATGGACGAAACAAAAAGAAGGAAGGAAATTGGTCTCGGAGAACGCTTTCTGTATGAAAAGGATACACGTACTGTGTCCTTCTCTGATTTTATTAATGTAGAATTAGTTCTATACAGTAACTATGATAATGTTCGATCTATACCTAATATGATCGATGGTTTTAAACCTGGACAAAGAAAAGTAGTATATACATGTTTGAAACGTAATGATAAGCGTGAAGTAAAAGTTGCACAATTAGCTGGTTCTGTAGCTGAACATTCTGCATATCACCATGGTGAAGTCTCTCTTATGTCAACTATCATTAATCTTGCACAAAATTTCGTTGGAAGTAATAATATAAATTTACTTCAACCGATTGGTCAATTTGGTACAAGACTTGCAGGAGGAAAAGATGCAGCAAGTCCTCGTTACATTTTCACAATGCTTAGGTATATAAATGTCCATGAAATTATATACAGAGAATGTCTGTTTTATCTGGGATACAATGGAATATCACACGAGATAGTATCAAATAAATATTATTATAAATGTTATTTGGTACATTTTCGTGAATATTTTATCGTATCTAAATAAAGCAAATATCTTCCAAAAATGGTTATCGTATAATACTCTCTGTTATCTACAGTCCATTAGCAAGATATATATTTCACAAACATGATGATGCTTTATTGAAACACGAATATGACGATAATCAAAAAATTGAACCTGTTTTTTATGTACCAACTATACCAATGGTATTAGTGAATGGTGCCGATGGCATTGGTACTGGATGGATGACAAAAATACCAAATTATAATCCTAGAGAAATAATTGAGAACTTACATAGAATGATGGATGGTGCTGATCCTAAACCAATGGTAATATTTTTCAAAAACTTCTGTTTAATATTCATTGTACATATATTTCGTTATATTTTCTAGATTCCATATTATAAAAATTTTAAAGGAGTCATAGAAAGTTGTGGAGATTATAGATATGTTATTAATGGAGAAATCTCAGTAATAGCACCAGATAAAGTTGAAATTACTGAACTCCCGATTGGAACTTGGACCCAAACATACAAAGAAACAGTATTAGAACCAATGTTACATGGAACTGATAAAACCCCATCTATTATTACGTAATTATAATTTTTAGTATCGAGATTGTAAGATAAATGACTAAAAGATATTTATTATTTATTTCCTTTTATGTTATTATAGGGACTACAAAGAATACAATACAGATACGGCAGTACATTTTATAATAATGTTAAATCGTGATAAATTGCTAGAATTGGAAAGAGATGGTCTTCATAAAGCATTTAAATTACAATCAACAATGACAATTACATCTATGGTAAGAGACAGATAATATATTTAGAATATTAAGAAAGTAATTTCTATAATAAGCAAATTTATTTGTACAGTGTGCTTTTGATGAAAATCAATGTCTACAAAAATATGATAGTGCTCTTCAAATTTTGAGAGGCTTTTATAAAGTGAGATTAGAAACGTATCACAAAAGAAAAGATTATTTAGAAGGTATTCTACAAGCAGAGGCATCAAAACTTTCAAATCAAGCACGATTTATTCTAGAAAAATGTGATGGTACTATAGTAATAGAAAATAAAAAGAGAAAAGATATGATTGCTGAATTAATTCGACGAGAATATGAATCTGATCCAGTTATAGCTTGGAAATTATCACAAAACAGAGAAGAAGTTTTAGTAAGTATTGCGTTTTTATATCAAAACGATATATTTGAAATTTATCAAAATTTAATTGTTATGCTACGTTAGGAAGCTCAAGTAAGTGATAAAAAGAAACTCGTGTAAACAAAAAACGATTTATTGTAATTATAATTTTTATTTTGCTATAAATATTTAACATGCAAGTTTCTATAATGTGTTAATAGGAAGAAGTAACAGAAAATGCTGACGAAGAATCGGTTGTATCATCTACAGCCATTGCAAAGGAAAACTTTGATTATTTATTAGGAATGTCATTATGGTGTTTAACAAAGGAAAAGAAAGACGAATTATTACGTCAAAAAGATGAAAAAGTAGCAGAATTGAAAAGATTACAAGCTCGTACACCTATTTCTTTATGGAAAGAAGATTTAGATAACTTGTTGAATGAATTGAATAGAGTAAGTAATTTTTTTTTATTTTTAACAAAAAACAAAACATTTAACTTTTACCATATATTATATTTTATCGTAGTTAGAAGAAAAAGAACGGAAAGAAGAACAGAAATCTAAACAATGTATTAAAAAACCACCATCAAAATATTATACTTCTGATGATATTCGTCGAATAGTACCAATAATTGATACTGAATTAAAAAGAAAGATTGAGAAAGCAGACATTGTATCTAAAGATAGAAAAGAGGGTATCAAAAAACAAAAGGTAAATATTATATATATATATTTTTTAAATGCTTCATATTTTTTGTGAAAATATAATGAGACATTTTATGTAATATGATAGATTAAAAAAGATCCAACAGAAGATAAGGATGAAATTGACATGTTGATCGAATCAAATGCCAAATCTTTAGAGGAAAGATCGGGTTGTGCTCCAGAAAAGTTGGAAAAGAAGGCTGGTGGCAAAAAAAGTATATATGCTCAAAGTTATAATAAAATGAAAAAATTTATGAAGTTAAGCAACAATAATCGTTTCATTATTTTCATTAGGATTGAAACAAACAACATTACAATTTAAACCAAAAGTGAAAAAGGAAAAAATTGACAAGAAGAAGGGTAAAGATTCTGATAGTAATGATGATATCGATTTTGGCAGTATTTCTCCTCCTCCAGCACCTCGTACATCCCGTAGAGCAGCAGGTATTAATTTCTCTTTAAACAGTAGTTTTATGTTTATACAAATTTGTATACGTGTGTTTTTCTTTAATATGCATATATAATTAATGTTTGTAAATTTTGTATTTGGTAGCTAAAAAGAATTACAACTTCAGTAGTGAAGGATCCTCTTCCAGTGACGAAGTACTCAGTATTTCTTCAGACACAGAACAGTGAGTATTTCATTTATAATTGTATAACATTACATAGCACGAACAATGTATTTTCATTAAATTTATTTTTTAGTAAAACAAAACCTACTACGGTTGTTAATAGCGATTCTGACGATATCCTTAAGATACATAAAAAACGTAAGTAAATGTATAAGATTTTAATTATATTTATATACTAGTTATATACTATTTATATACTATTTTCTTTAGACATTATAATTATATTGTTGTCCACATTACAGCTAGTTCGGAAGAGCTCTTTGATTCTTTAGTTAGTAGTGCAGAAAAACAATCAACAAAACCTGTTGCAGCATCTAGTGAGGAATCATCGTTGTTCTCACCTCCCACAAAAGGTAAAATTTTTAATATCTCATTAATTGCAAAATATTAAATAATTTGATATTCGTTGGTTTATAATTGTGATCACAGAATATTTCATACATTGTCATTAACTTATATTACGTCTTATTATTTTAGCTCCTGCTAAAAAGAAAACAGAAAATGGTGGAAAAGGAATGAAAAGGCAATTAAAGAAAAAAATTGTTTCCTCCGATTCGGACTCAGAGGAAGTTATGTTTTTAAATAAACAATCTCCTGTAAGTATATAATTCATATATAACAATTTTCAATCAAAATTTAATATATGACAAAAAAGTAAGTAAGATATGATGTTTATATTAATTAATAATTAATACTGTGTTAATTTTTTTTAATTTATTTGCAATTGCATGAAACTTATTTAATTATATAGGTAAAGAAAAAAAAGAAGAAGTCCGAGTCAGAGGAAGATAGTAGCCTTAGTGTAGTAGATAGTTCTCCATTACCACCTCGAAAAACTGCAGGTCGTGCCCGTAAACCTATTTCATATGCTGTGCAATCGGATGATGATGATTCTAATTGATCAATTTTATACAATATTTTAAAGGTATAAGCAAATAAATGACACGTGTTCCAGGAAATTTTAATTATAAATACACGATCTTAAGTTGAATATCAGAATCCAAATTGTTAGTAACGAATTTTGTGATCACATTTAATATAAATTTTAACAAATTCTGTCTTGATTTTTATCAAGACATTAGTAATTTTATATGATACTGTACATATATACTAAAATATATGAATTAGAATATTTTAAGAAAATAAAATTTTACAGTCAGAATTAAATATGTATAGTACGTAATGCGATAACATAAATTGAGTCATGAATGACTATACATTTGAGTCATCTAAATATTTAAACAATATTAAATTCCAAAATATCTATATTTCTGTAAGTTAATTTTTTGAAAAAGAAATTTAAACAATATTGTTTTGTAAAAAAAATAACATATTTTTGCACATCAATTTATACAATGTTTTCAAACTATTGGAAATGGAACAATGTGTGATTTGTTGCAAAAACTCAATATCAAGTTCAAATTAAAAGAAACTTTTGTTATTGTAATAATAATGTATATATATATAGAATGAAAAGTTCATTTCATCTTCATAAAATACTTATTCAAGCATTTTAAACATATTAAACTAATATGTCACATAACTTCTATTAATAGTATTGATATTGAATAAAGAATATAATTGATGTTCTGCGTATACTTAATAACTACAGATGTAGAGATTTACAAATATATGACTGTAATGAAACTTTTGTATTTATAATATGAATAGAATATTAATTTAAATATTAAGACTCGTTATATTAATTAATTTAAACTTGTCTTATTTATTTTTTCTTTTTGTATATTGAATTAATTTTTGAACAAAGTACATTCTTTACAGATATCTATCTGTCACATATCATTAATAAATAATGTACTTACCATAATATATGGAGGTAATTGTATTAATTAGCACATTCGTACAATTGATTACCCATTCTGTGAATAAAATTTTAATAAAAATGAATAATCCAATCAAATAATACATAAAGAAAGAATATTAAATTTCCTGTTCAATATATAACATTGAATATGTTAAACTTCATGTTTAAACAACTTACATATGCAAGTGTGATTTATGTAACTAGTTGTATATCAAAATCTTTAATAAATCCTATTTGGTGATGGGGTTTCTTATTGTAATGCTACAGAAAATTTATATATACATATTTTCAGTTTAGAAAATAATAGTATAGTGTGTTATACTTTACAAAAATTTACAGATTTTTTGATTTTTCAATTTTGTAACAAATTTTGCAATAGATTATTTTATATCCTTGAAACTATTAATTAATGAAAAAAAAGGAATTGATTTGATTCTTCAAAACTCAATAAATACCACGTAAGCCCTTGAAACTAGAATGATTAAAATCTTCCAGTAAATCATTTGGTATATATGTGTGTACAGTTTTTGAAATTTATAAGATCTACTCAATAATGTAACGTTATAATTTTGTACTATCATTGAAATTAAGTACAAGTAAAAAGTTAGGTTTTTTGTTCGTCAAATTCAATGAAAATAATGCTCTGTATGTTTCTATCCAATTTTCTATCCAACATTCATCTATTGAAAGAAAAAATTTTATGTGCACACATACGTATTATAGGAGAAATACAAACTGTTATATGTGATTCATATTTAATTAATAAGTTTACTAACTTTAAATTATACACAAATACGTAAATTTATTGCTATAACGTTTCATACACCATCCTCGACGCAATTCCTGTTGTTTGTGAGGAAGATCGTGACTATGCTGACACGCAAGGGCGATAAAAAAAAAAACTTTGTTTGTTAAAGAATTATTTGAATTCCTCTTCTTTTAAAATGCATAATAATACTCCAAACTCTGACATGCATAGTTATAAAAGCATGTAGAGCTGGAAATATTATTATGTAATGCTTTTTTTCTTTTCAAGTTGACCCGTAATTTTAAAGAATATTATCTGATCAGGCAATATTTGGATATTTGTGCAATGAATTTTCTATGAAAAAAATCTTATTCCTTGAATAAAAATTTGTTTTCGATATATGCATTTAATAGTTTTATTAACGATGCATTTTTAAGGAGTCTTCACTATATACAAATGCAAAATTGCTTCTATCGCAAAACATATATAAACACTGCTTGGTGCAGATTCGTTTCCTTTTTTATCATTACAAATAATCCCAAATGAGATTTCATAGAATAAATGCTCATTAAATGATCTTTTTTCGTTCTTTCATCAGTTTACTATCTCATTAAATGAGTTAATCTTTTTGTGGTAGAAAAACGATATCCTTTTTTTTTAAAAGAAGTGTTTTTCGTAAATTTTACTGGCCAAAGTATATGCTATTTTTTTTTTCTTTTTGTCCAAGAACAGTATGCATCAATTGTCACTTTAAACTACAATAAATACAAGAGAATATTACAAAACTAATCACAATTAATTTAACTATTATGTTCAAGCAAAATTTCTAAACTAGGGAATTTTTGCTCGATTATAATTTTTCAATTATATGAAAATGATAATTATAAATATGTATATCTAAAAATTGTAACTTCTTACATTTTGACAATTATGCATACCTCTCCTCGGAAAAAAATTAAATGAATTTATTCATTTTCTGACTAGTTTGTCTTAGAACTTAGTTTACAAAAAGCACTTCCTCGTAGAGGAATTTTAAAAGTATACGCTTTCCTGTTTAATAAATTTGAAAAACCGCAAGAGAAATAGGAGAGGGAAGCAGGAACGGTTGGCTTTTAGAATAGAAGCGATGGATCTAGTAGTAGACTCTGTTCAGACTTGTAATGTATTCTCCTCTGACCATTCTTTGCCAATCACGTAGGTATTGAAACCATCAATACCGTGCCCACATTGTACCAACAACTTACAACATTTTAACAACTTTCTAGTACTCCCAAAAGCTGCAGGTTGTCGACAGACGCGACTATAATACAAAGCAAGGGCACTTGATAAAATAACTTAATCTTCTATTTCATAATTATCTATATATAACGTACATATATAAAACAAATTATGAATAAAGAAATAGCAACCAGGTCGGTACAACATTATGAATCTTACTTTAAAAATTTTTAATGCCTGATTATACGAATTGTTATATATCACGAAAATGTAAGATCAGAATTATCGCGCCGAAGTCCACTCTAAAAAAAAGAGAAAAAAAGAGAAATGGATCACTCTATTAGAAAATTATGGATTAAAAATGTACATGTGCATGGAGCATATAAACCGTGGACTACGATTCTGTATGTTCTTTTTTTATTTGGGAGCATCGCGATTCTTTTACTTTCTTTGCACTCGAACCTTAGACCAATCAATCCGATGTAGATAAAGCCCACTCATTTCAGAATAGGAACAACCAACCAAATCTCCTCGTGTGTGTATGTTAATCGTTATTAGTCATGATATAAGTAATAATGTTAATATTTGAATAAAGTAACATGATGTGCAGTCAAATATTCATGGAATACTTGGCTGCACGGAGGTCATGCGAGGATCCACCACAGTTGTCTTTCCACTGTCAATGCTGTCCTGTTTCTTTACACCATATATATATATTATATCGGATTTATTAGTATATATATATATATAGTATAAATATATACACGCACACTAGTTTTAACAATCTTTCGTCACACTCATTCATCCATACGTAACTTCAGAAGAGAGGAACGTCTCCGTAAAAGCAAAGTCCCTCTACGCTTCGCCGCGCTTTGCCTCGGATATTTTATCTTCCGTTGCTCTCTTTATTTTCACCGAGTAATTTTCACTTGCAACGATCTCCATCGCTATATTTCCTTTGTTTCTTTTTCTTCTTAATTTGAACTTCACTTTAATTCACAATGACTTATCACATGTTTATCTGTCTCTCTCATTTCTTTTTTAAACACTATTATCAAGTCAGCCCACTGTTTGATACAAGGAACGATAATACAATTGAATATTTACGAACACAACATTTTTTTGTCATGCTGAATAATGTAGCTTGTATTGTAGAAAGACGCAAGCTTCTGGACTTGCGACGACCAGTCTCGCATCTCTCTTGCAATGTCCTATGTAGTCGGCCTGTAAGTATAGTTGTAAAGGTGTGGTGGAAGTGGTAGTGATGGCGGTAGTGGAGTGGTAGTGGTAGTGGTAGTGGTAGTGGTAGTGGTAGTGGTAGTGGTAGTGGTAGTGGTAGTGGTAGTGGTAGTGGTAGTGGTAGTGGTAGTGGTAGTGGTAGTGGTAATCGTGGCGTTGGTGATGGTGATATTATCCGGTTTTTAGTATTTACAATTCGTTATAGCAATCGCTATGTTCCTAAGATGAGATGGTGTGCAATTCAATGTTCAAGATTTGGCATGTATTAGTATATTGAAGATTTTGTCTTTAGTTCTTTTCCACTACGAACTGCTTGACGCGTTCATACCACTAAACATGCCAATACTAAATGAGGTTTGTTGCTGCTGTTGAATCTGTTGTTGTTGTTGCTGCTGCTGCTGATTATTCGCTTGACGGCCATGTTTTGGCACTGGAGGTTGTAGATATTCGTGTCTAGCTAATGTCAACACATCTATACGTTCTTCTTTCCTATATGCTAGGCAACTTCTTATGAAACTCTGTAAAAATAAAAACATTCACGAATAGATTTAAAATGTTATTCTCATACTGTCAATCAATTAAATTTTTTCAATTCACGTGAATTGACAATAAAATTTTACCTTCGCTTCGTTGCTAACAGTTGGTTTATTTGCAAATTGAACTTCAGTAGCTTTTAAAATTGTATTCTCTTCTAAAATTGTGGCTTGAGATTGATTGTGTCCAAAAGGCTGAAAATATAATTTTTGGAATATAAATTTTATTAAGTTAATAATGTATAAAGATCAAAACAATCGATATTATTATTTTAACAGTCATACCTTTTTACCATATAGACATTGATAAAATATAACTCCTACACTCCAAACATCAACTTTTGATGATATTTTTGGAGGATTTTTACCAATAACAAAACACTCTGGTGGAAGATACCTACATAAAATATAATAAAATAAGTACAATACGTCATCACTGACTTTAATACAGAAAGATATAGAAATGTTTTCAGTGGCCATAAAGCATATTTTTAAAATCAGAGTGTACATACCAATAGGTACCAGCTCCTTGAGATGTTAAATCCATTCCATGATCTGGATTATAGTTTTCTTCATCCATTACTTTACTTAATCCAAAATCTGTAATTTTTATTTCTCCACAAACATTACCTTCAGTTAATAATATATTACCTATAAAATTACAACATTAATAGCATATAATTTAAAATTTTGGATATTCTCATATTACATAATAAAAAATAGAAAATAAAAATTTACCTGGCTTTAAATCATAATGTATGACTGGGGGTTTTATTTCATTGAGGTACTTTAATGCAGATACAACTTGCATAACAATAGATCTTGCTTCTCTTTCAGGTATAGTCTTATGCTGAAAATATTTAATAAAATATTTGATTATAACAATACATAATAAGTGTTATTTGAAAAATACGCTATTAATACACACCTGCTTAAGATAAAAATCTAAATCATGGCCATCACAATATTCCAAGACAGTACAAAAAGAATTGGCGTCAATTTCAAACACATCATACAATTTCACAACACGAGGATGATCAAGAGCTTTATGTATATTGTATTCTCGTAACGCATGCCTGCATAAAGAATAAAAAAAATATATTCTTATATTAAAAGAGTTAATATCATATATGTATAATTAACATTAATACTATTTTAGATATTTATTTTGTTACAAAACTGTAATTATTTTTATTTTATTGATTAATACTAATTAACTCCAAAATAAAAAGCTTAATTACGGAAGTACTTACTTAATATAATTAGCTTTTTTATCCTCTTTCCAGTCTTTATTCAGTTGATGCACTTTACAAGCGACATATCGTTGCTCTTTTAAGTCAAATGCCTATAAAAAATGAATTGCTTAACAAATAATTAATTAATTGTTTACTACTACAACAAACTTATTTTAAATTTAATAAATTCATTTCTATACCTTATGCACTTCACTGAAACCACCTTTTCCTAACAACATTAGTAAAAGGTAACGTTCGTTCAATACAGGATGAGAATTGAATCTCGATTGGTCCTCGTTGTGAATACGTTTCAGTTCTCTAATGTGCAAGTTTCGTTCTCTTTCAAGTTTTTCCATTTCTAGTTGCAGATCAGCATCTTCTTTTTTCAACGCACTTTGTCTTAACTAGGAAAAGAACATACATGAATTTATGTCAAAACAACGTGCACAAATCAACAAAACAAATCTTAACAAAGATCTTAAAAACAAATCTTAACAATTATCAATTTGAAAAGACCAATACCTTGAGTATTTCATCAGCTTCATAATACTCTTGCCACGTATAAGACCCAGGTACTGCATCTGGCTTTAAGAATGTAGCTTCCGTGCCATTGTGCAAAGAAGGTTGAGGCTGACTACGTTTTCTACCAGTTTCACTGTTTGATGGCCTCTTTTTGAGTAATAGCTTTTTTTGTTTATCGATCTCTTCTCGTTCAGTTGCGATTTCTTCTTGTCGTCGTGCTAATTCTTGAAATGCATAACCATCCGTCCAATTTTCTTGAAATGTTGCACCCACCCTTTGAGTTACAAATTGGCCCAACCTCAGTCTATTTTGCATACATTTTTGCCTAGCCTCCTTTTTTTCTATGTTTGATTTTTCTTTTAATAACTTCTTTACAACATCTATACACTTATTTATATGAGATTTGTGCTGTTCAATTAGTTTTTGTTGATTAGCCATTTGATGCCTAAGTTCATCAGTTGTCTGAAAAATAAAATATAAATAATCATATTCTTAATTATATAAAAATTGTAAATACAAAAAGATCTTATTGTTGAACTGACGACATTAAAAATATCTTAAAATATCCTCACACATATAAATTTTTTGAAAGAGAAAACTTAAATATTTTTTCTAATTCTATTACTAATAATTTAATACTCATAAGACATTCAAACATTTATTTTACTTACTCTATTTAATTCATCAATTTTGTTATTACGTAATTCTAAATCTGAAGAGGCTTGAGTTTCAAATTCTTGTATCCTCTGGCAAGTAAGTTCTGTCTGAAATGTAAATGACACACTTTATGATAAATAGAAACAAATTACTGTAACATCTGATACATTTGTCAACATAGTTCTTAAATACCTTGTTACATCCAAATGGATGTAATATGCAGATTAAGTTTTAGTGCAACATTTTGAAAATTTCTTCTAGAAAATTAATCAAGTTTTAATCCTTGATAGATATTTGTGATAAAGTTAGTTCTACACATTATTTAATTTAATTGGCTAGCCCTCTTGCTATTAAAAGTAAAATTGCAGAGCAAAATCTAAACATATAGATAGAACAGAACTACCACACAGGCAGCAAGGAAAACACCAAAAATGTATGCATGATTCAAGGTATGCATGTGAGTATAAAAAATTGTAGGACACTGTATACTTCATACATATTTTTTTTCTATAATAATTATTTTGTAGTACACAAAATAAATTTTTTTCAATTTTATCACTTTTGAGATATGATAAAACTATAGCCAAATACTAAGTCAAGAATGGCAAACATGCACACCTATTTTTATTTTGGAAATTGAAATAAATGGAAATAAATAATGTTAACAACTCGAAAGCAAAAATAAGATTTATCAAATAAGGAGTGACATTACAAGGTAGCCTGCACTCCTATGATAACAAATGGATACAGTGCTACAGTCCAGTCAGAAATTAGCTGCAAATTTACTGCAAACATCTGACAAGAAATGCCCATTGTAAAACTAATTTCAAGAAATTAAACTATATAAAAATATATAAAATATACTTTTTTACATATTATGTAATAAGAGACAATAAGAAAGACATAAAATGTGAAATAAAATGAGTAAATAATACTTATAAATAAAATATTTTTTTAATGAGAAGATATTACAAAGAACTGACATTTATTTTTTGGAAAATGAGTAAATTAATTTTGAAAATTTCTTTCCTCTAGATAGAAAATTTATCAAAGACATTTTACTAAATAAATAAATTTATTATATAAACACGTAAGATTAAATGTTCAATTTAAAGTGTCTAATGTAACTCTTTTATCATTTACGAAAAAGTTTGAGGAATTTGAATATAAGATTATAACTTGTAGATTATGCTACTTCAAGGTTAAATTTTTATGGGTCGTTTCTTATAAAATGCTTGCAGGAATTACCAATTTTTGCTTACATTTGGGGTGTTAGTCTTCGCTTGCCTGACCTGGCTTGTCCTACTGAGGTTGGTAGGCCTTACCTGCACCTGCTTGCTGACCATTGAGCCTGCAGGTTGCGTTGAGGCTGGTGGAGGAGGAGGTGGAGGTTGAGGATGAGGTCTTGGCGGCTGCATCAGTGAAGAAAATTCTGCCACTGAAGAATTGGGTGTTGTTACTTGCGGTGAAAGGAGTTGTTGAGGCGATGGTGGATACTGTTGAAAAATAATTACACAAAATATCAGAAAGGACGTGAGGGAAAAATTACAGACATCATGATTATATTGTGGAAGAAAAATTATACGTTAGATATGATATAAGTAGTCTATATGTATATATGTATATATATGTATACATTTTATATTTACCATAGGATATCCTTGTTGAGGTGAAGGACTTTTAGCACCCCCATGCCGAATGGGGCTATTACCCAAATGATGCTTTGAAAAATACTCATTTATTTTTTTATTTTCAAGAGCAGCAACAGATCTAGACCCTTTACTTCCTATAGGTCCCCCAGTAACTCCTCCACCTCCATCATCAGCTTTACGTTTTCTTTTCCTTTCCGAAGGAGTTCTTGGTACCTTTTCTGGAGTGTTTGGATCTACCTCCTTATCACTATGTGATGAGCCTAATTGTGACAAGATAATCACATGGTTTAGCAATTCTTAGTCTATTTATTAAACTTCATCTTTTGTCATTAAAGTAAAAATATACTAACTTACCAGTGCTCATGTTCGAGTCTTGACTATGAACTGACTGACCAGAGTTTACAGTTGATTGAGGTGCCATCTGAATTTGTGACCCAGCAGACATCTGAAATGAAAAAAAAACATTTCAGTAAAATAATAATTGAAATATATTCATTTGCAAATATTTCAATAAAATAAAAAGATAATCATTATGACAGTAAATAAGAACAACACATTAAACTATACCATACAGAGTAAAAGCAATTGTGTCGTATAATTATTTGATATCATAAAATTTAACATAAGCCTCCTAGAAGAAACAACATGGAGAAAAATATCGCAACGCGAATCAAAGATTCGTTACTTTTGGTAGAGGTTACACTTTGAAAATCATACCGGCGTATAATAGGCCAGCTAATAAAAATCGCGTGTTATTAAAATACGATTCATTATGTAAAAAGAAATTTAGGATAGAGGAAGACCAAGTGAGAGAAACAAAAAAAAAAAAAGAAAAACAAAGGACGTGCAAGGGAGAACGAGGTATGCTCAATGGCAAAATGAAAAGAGAAAGAATGAGAATGAAAAAGACAGTACAGGAGAGAAAGAGAGAGAAGTGACACCTTCCAGGATAGCCTATGGTGGAGCCCCATAGTCGTACTTGCTGTTTGAGCTAATAGACAGTATGTCAACCATAGGCACGGTTTCGCGCACAATTTGTATGTAAATGTCAATGGTACAGTGTGAACAAAATGTGCAATATATGTTTAGAGCTAGAGGAATCACGACAAAATGGAGGACCCTAACAGAGGGGAACGACGGAAGGGCAGGGAGTTACGGAGCTATAGAAGAGGTAAGAGGGAAGGCGACGGAAAATGGAGAGGGGGTGGAAGTAGAGAAACAGAGAGAATGGGAGATACAGAAGGGGGGTAAGAGGTAAGAACTCGATGGCAGAGGAGTGGTTAGATTGGGAACCACGGACGCGCTCCGCAAGGGGGCAGTTTTACTCACTGTTTCACATCTGAACTCTGGTCAGGTCGGATAGTTAACTGGCTATCCTATCGTACATACTTTTCTACATACACACCAAATGCAGCCGCTAGGCAAACCGCCTTCAATGAACAACAACAATAACCGCGACGACACGCTACGTCATCCGATTTGTGACGTCGATTCCCCGATAAATTACGCACTCTTATTATTATCATCGGCGGCGTGTCAGCCACGTTTACTCCGCGCGCGGTTAAGAACCCGGATTAATGGTAAGTTCTCATGGACGCGGTCACGCGTTTGCGCGTTTGCCAGGCGGAACGCACACGTTCGAATTCCACGCTCTGTCACTGACGTGCACACGTTATTATGATTAAAAGTATCGCTACTACAAAGCATTGTAAATATAGATGAATCGTTTAAGGTTACACCTCCGTCATCTTCGCTATTCGGTAACTTTTTCTTTCATGCCTCTTTCAAATTTCGGCCGCATTCAAATTCGTCTCATTCATTACCCGCTAGATTTGTGTACGTACGATTTGTAATATGTCAATGTGACGATTATAAATGTAAAATTATCACAATAAGCAATGCTGCGTGAACTTCCGTATTGTGTCGCGAAATTGTAATGTATTTGTTGACGAAACAAAACATGTGCATTTTGCTTGGCGTGTGTAAGTATTTTTATTCCACTATCTATCAAAGATGTAGTGCAATGTGTTGTGTCATATTCAATTCAGTATTTTATCACGGTGAAGAAATTTTATAAGATGCGCAAACAAAGTGACAACAGTAATATGCTTGAATTAATTTGAATTAATTTAAACTGAAATTGAAATTAATTGAATTAAATTAAATTGCCGAACATACGTTGACAATTAATTAAGAATTAGAACAAAAATAATGAGATGATACAAAAATTTATGAAAATATTACTTTTCTCTGTGGGAATTGTTAGAGGAATTAGAGCTTGCATTCAAATTTTATTTAAATGTCCAAAAACGTGTTGAGTTTAAAAAAAATTAACGCACGTGCAATCATAATGTACCAATGAATACAATTTTCTCACTGAGATTATAGAATATAGTGAATTTGTTTGAAAGTAACAGCGGAACTGCGAAGATTCATCGTAATACTCGTAATACACGCTCATCGTTACTTCATCGCGAATATTACAAAGTAGAAAGAAGAAAAATAAAGAGTGGAAGTGCAATTTAAATTGGAGTCGCACGTAGGTTACAAGGTATCGATAGTTCTGCCTATCGCGATACAGAGAACTTACGTGTAGCCTAAATTAGGATAATGGTGAATTACGAACACACGGGATTCTATGGCTTACGGATGATTCGTTTCACTTTCTTGTACTTTACTGAACATGCCAGCAATCCGACAAAGGATAGAAAACTTCCTTATCGATGGATCAATGTCTGTGCCCGGAACTGGGCTAGAGGGCCGGGGAATCGTTTCTCCGGCAGCGATTTGCCTTTAAGTTAGCTTTGCTATGTGCGCTTGCGTTAGTGTGCGTAAGCAAGGAGGTTACATGGGAAGCAGTAACATATACGAACCCAGTGAATCGGGACATGCGGATTTTACAGTACACTCCTCTTATTCCTCACGACTTGACCCTTTTATGAGCATAATCACGATGTCGTATCGAACGATCCAAATGAGCCACACGTAAGCTATCCTTTCGAACACTCACGAAGTTGGTTCACTTCGTATCTTCTTCAACTATGCAGTTCCTCTTGTAAAAGCGGCGTGCAGTTAGCGCGCCGGGTAAACAGCAACAGCACCAACAGCACCGAGTGCCGTCAATGGCCACGATAAACGGCATTACGCGTACGTTTCACGGGCCACAAGCGAGCCAAAAACCCCAGCGTAGTCTCGTCTAATCGAAACGGAACTGGAACTGTCCGACCACCGTACTGTTCGCATACTACTACCTAGCGGAGGTTTCTCTTTCTCTCTTTCTTGGTCGCTCTCGCACTCCCTCTTTCCCTGCCGCTCTTCTCCTCTCCTATGTACGGCAAATGAGCAACGCGCGAGATTCCGAGATGCGGCAAAAGGTGCAACCTCCACCTCCCCGCGACGGCGCTACTGCCCAACGATCACAACAGACAGGGAAGAGAGAAAGAGAGAAATTACCAGAGTGCGAGAGAGATACCAAGTGAGATCGAGAGACCTGCGAGAGGAAGCAGAGGAGAGGAAGAGGAAGACGACGAGGAGGAGGAGGAGGAGGAGGAGGAGGAGGAGGAGGCGGAGGAGGAGGAGGAGGCGGAGGAGGAGGAGGAGGAGGAAGAGGAGGAGCAGGAGGTGGTGGAGAAGAAGAGAGCAAGCAGAAGTTGGCGAGCTTGGTAGAAAGGGATGGAGGACAAGTTAGAAAGAGAACTAACTGAGTGACGGAGAGGTTTTGTAGGGGTAGGGTCAGGAGAGGCAAAGGGGAGGAAAAGGGAGTCGGAGGGAGGCATATGAGACATTCCTTCAGTGAACGGGTCGACCGAGTGTGAGTGCAAGCGAGCCGGTAAAATCGATGTGGCGAAGTGTAGCTGTGCCACTACGGCGTGCAAAGGGTGTGCTGTACCCTATACGTGATCAGTAATTTGCCTTGTGACGTTGTGTCGTATAGTCAAATACATTACAGTATTAGGTGTTAAATTGTACGTATAGACCAAATCAGATGCGTGTATGGAATGAAATGTTCGCTATATATGTAACAAATATATAGCAAAACAATTTTTTTGAAATAATATATACCTATAATAATATGTTTATCTCTTAATGTGAATCAAATTCTAATATGAATCAAAAAGCAGATATTAAACCGTATATATTTCGGCGGCGTGGTAGTTTTTGTATATTATAATATACTTGTGCGTAAAATTATCTGTATCCTCATTTTTATTTTCTGTTTATATTTGATTTATTTATCATTCTTGTAATAGATATCAGACTTTTAAAATTCTTTTACACGCTACTCATTATGCTAGCCGATATATATTTGCATTTGAAAAGGTCTTCCAGATGACGTGACATTAATTTTAATTCAATAAAATTCCGACACACAATAACGAAATATGTCGAAATCAACGATTCTGAGCAAAGGTACATACCCAGTGCGTATGTATGAACCTGTCGATGTACGTTTGAAGTCAGTTGCAACATTGTTTTATTTCGTAAGATCTTGCACCGACTTGCATGGTCGTGTTAAGTATCATGTATTGAGAGTGGCACCTGCCACGGAACCGAAGAGCGCCCTCACAGTGATTCTACTAGTTACGCTCCTGAAATACGCCGTGCCGACGTGTGTTTCAGCCAGTGCGAGGGCGTATTAGCGAGATGTAGACCTAGTGGTGGGGGATTGAAAGACCAAGCGTACGTGAGATGACGGCTCGGCGAACGAACATAACTGGTCAGACCGGCGGGCTGGCGAGAGCGCACATTACATTTAGGTTGACTCATGCAACGATCCTCGTAACAGCGTTGCGTTTCTACAGTGTCATAGTGCGATTTTATACTGTTTGTTACAGTGCTCAACTTCGTGTTTAATTTTCGTTTTCTTTTCGCGGTTATTTAACTAATTAACTCACGCCTGGATACATTGCCAGTATAATTCGACGATATAGAAGATTGTTGTGATGTCCTATTTGTGTGTTTAGATAGCTAGAAGAATGTTTTTTAAGCGACTTTTACGTTCGCATGTTTGTGATTACGTTACTGTGATACTTGTTCTTTTTAATAATTTCAATATGTAATTGTTTTGTTATCCACAATTGTTACTACTCGTTATGCGCACTTGATATTGTGGTTGGTTTTATATCACTTCTACAACTGTTGTTATCACTTCTACAAAAACTGCGAACTTTAATAAAACAACGAAATATCGCAGTACGGAAGCAATTACTAAACAGTGTCAGCGTTTATGCGTGCTTTCTGTTTCCTGACGGCACGGTTGAACAAGACGACGGAATAGAAGTACCTTATACTATCGATGCGATACACTCAGGCAAGGAGCAACGTTGCAATATTTCGGATGCTGTGACAACATCGCATCAACATAGTATTTCCATTTCTCGATGTATGTACCGAATACATAGTTCCAGTATCTTTACTTAACGAACGTACCAGTTCGTTCTAAAAAAAAACTCGCTTTCGCGAAATATCGAATTCACGTTAGAATTTTCACGGAGCGTTCGATATTAGACTTAAGCGTATTTGTAATAATTCGATTTGTGAAATAAAAATTTTAAATTGTAACAATTTTAGAAATTTCTTAAACTAACGAGAATATTTCGATAATTTAATTGCAGAATTATAATGTGACGTTTGAATAAAAGCGTTGAATAAGAGAATTTCTAAATGTTCATACAAAAAAAAAAAAAAAAAAAAAAAATTTCGTTTCTTTAAACAAAAATATTCAAGCAACAGTGTTTCAAGATTCTTCAACTAAAGCAAACGTCTTATAACGAAATGCCGTGATATCTCTGGATTCTATTTGATATCAAATTTAAAAAATTTACAAGATACACATGTAAATAACAAATAAAATAAGAAAGAGTTCGAGAACACGTTAAATATAAATATTTAACAAAAAAATAGGATGGAGGTGTATGTGTGTGTGTGTGTATGCGTGTGTGGATACGCGTTTAGCTCCTAGACCTTGCAATGCCATTCGATTGTAGAAAACAGTGGCGACAACAGTCAGCAACGTTCGACGTGACGGCAACATAGCAATGACTACCCCCACTCTTTCATGGAAGGAACCACTGTTTTCCCCTCCATGTGTTGCCTTAGCCCCCTCCAATGAACTCCCAATAGGTCGCACGCTCATTAGCCCAGTCGCGCACGATTCTCCCTCTCCACCCCGTGTAGTCGCATGTCTCTGGCCGATCAGCTGGTCGGCCACGCGGCGTTGCCTCGTTGCCTTGGCTTGCGCTCTGCTCACTGTTCACAGCCACGCGGTTTTCTGTGTACACCGTTTCAGGAAAAGTTAGGTACGTTCCGGTGTCCCGTGCAAGCGGCGTGTGCGCATTGCACGCTACGAATTCTCGTTATTTCGCTCGAATTGAAATATTCTTTTTTTTTTTTTTTTTAATATAGCGCGACTTTTATCGAATATTTTAATTGATTTTAGATTTGCGACACGTTTATTTATTTATTTATTTATTTCGTTTTCATTTTTTCAAAATCATTTCTTGCACTTTTTATTACCTTCCGATGGTGTGTTGTTCAATGTGTTACGTTTTACGCAAGTTCCGGTACGAATCGTTTAATAATTGATAGTAAGAAGCATAAAACTGGTGTGTCGATATTATCTTAAATGACAATGAAAAAAATTTTTTGCTAGATTGTTTATAGTTCCATGTGATAGAAGAAATTAATAGATAAATTAAAGGAGTTTAGAAGCAAATATGTAAAATAATAAATAAACAGCGAATATGACAGTTATAACAATTGTGAATATGCAAAAACGTGGCATATGTATAGATGCAAAAATACATAAAAATCAAAAGGAAATATTAAAAAAGATTTTTACTCGTGTTTCAATTTCTGTTCTATAAAAATATGAATTTTATATGAGCATTCACATTATGATATGTTCTTAGGAAAATCGCTAAATGATTATATAATATAATACGTATCCTGATGTTGTATAACGATTAATAATACCATTAAATATATAATGAAAATGTAGATTAGAAATGTTCCACATTGATGTAAAAAAAAATGTACTGTGAAAACAATAGAGAGCATAACTTGCATAATTTGCATGTATTATATCTATAAATAAAAGATTATGAAGGTAACACCATTGAAAGAAAAGAAATAAAACGATTAAATATTGACTGCTTATGAAAGCAACAGCTACAAAATGTAGTAATCGATCTCGCAAATTAATTATAGAAAAATATGAATGACGAACGCAGTATGATAGTTCCTACGATAGATCGTAAAACGCAGATGTTAGTTTATACATCTTGTAATAACTTGTTAATTTTTCAAAATTGCTCCATTTTCTCTATGTTTAACATATTATAATATGTTATACATATTATAAATAATGAAAGATCAATATTTAGATTTACATTTGTTCAATTTAATGTTTTGAAATAGTAAATGTAATTTGTTAAAAATATGCATTATGAATATTGTAGGTTGTCAATCGAATTCAAATCCATGCTTTATGCTGTCCATTAAAGTAATTAAATATTTGAATCTCGAAAAAGTTTCTTACTTTTTGTAGTACGAGAATTGTAAACGTGCATACGTTTAAATTGATAATTGAAACATATGCGCGTGACATTAATGATCATAGTTGCATAAATTATTATTAGACATACAAGAGACATATGGAATTCAGAAATATGTCCGACTGAGGAACTAATATATACTTTGACGTAAAACATTCGTATTTTAATATCAATGATACTTTCTCAATCATTACTAGGAATTTTATATAAAATTGTCGCAAAGTTTCATTAATAATTTGTATAATGTAACTTGTGGGTTATATTATATATGAGATTTAAAATAAAACTTAGGGTGGGGCTCAAGTATATGAACCTTAACCAAATACTAAACTAGGAAGATCAGTAACGATCGAATGCTCTAGTTCTTCTACGTGGCACTAGATGGTTGTTGGTAGCGACCTCTTTATTACGGTAAAAAAACTGTTTTTTTGACCAACAATAATTTTGAACAAAATGTTTCAGGTTGTAGCAAAAATGCATTTTCAAGATCATTCATCCATATTCTTATTTCGTCTCACGTAATTAAGATACACATTCGCGAAAAAGTAGACGAGAGAGGAGTCTTTTTACGTAAAAATAATTTATTATTATTGCTAAATAATATGTAATAAAAATTTCTCAGAAATTAAAGAATCGTTACAATGGTTCACAGGGAATTCACTAGACGCTCATGATTTGATAACTTTCTGAGAATTCTACGAGTGCTAATATCAAGGAGGAAAAATTCATTCGTACGTGTAGATTTATATATAATATTTCAATGGATGTTACAAAGAATTATCATCTAGCGACATTTCTAATACTAGAATATACGAGCATAAGAGCAGCACAGAAATAGTTTGAACAATTTGAAAAATGTTTGTATTTGAAAGAAAAAAAAAGAAAGTATATAACGTTTTTCCATTTCCAGTTTAGAATAAATCAGTACTGAAAATTCACTGCATTGAATGATCCTATTCATTGCTATGAATTAACACATATCGTACAGATATTGTTATCCGTGTTCGTTACAAATTCAAATAATAAAATAATTAGTAAATTCAAATAATAATTTCCATTTTTCTCTCAATATAATTGTGTCTTAGAGAATTAATTATTCAAATTTAAGTGTTAAGGGAATGAAACAAGTAATCTCTTATACAAATGAATAAGATTTATGGAAGAATCAAATAGCCAGACAAGATAGAATTAGAAGCTAACGAATGACAAATGACAGAAAAATGAGGAATGTAAGACAAGCAAGTATATTTTTTTTTTTTATTTGCGGATATTAAAATATCAGCAGTCGGCGAAAGACATCCAATTCTGTGTCCAATGTGATGGTAGATGCAGATGGTAATGTAGATTGCGGATTGGGTTTTAGGTGTCGCCCCCTTTACCGCGTTGTATCACAGATGAGGTATAAAATAGACCTGACATTCAATGTATTTTTGTGTCACACGGTTTGGGAGTTTGCGAGTACTCTTATCATTTTCATGTCGCTTCCAACGTTACCGATTTAACAACCGAATAAAATTGCAACACTTACAGTGATACGAAGTTAAAATTAACTATGGTGAATCACTCGTTTCCAAAATAAAATTTGGACCAATATAAATATGTTAAAAAGCATGTCTTTCAAATCTAAGCTTCTTTTTAAATCCAGGAGAAATTATTTTTTTCTTAACTTATTATTAAAATATAAAAAGAGCAATAAGAGAAATATGAGACAATATAATTCTGTATCAGTTGATACTTATTAATACTTGTTTGACACATTTTTTTTTTTTTTCAAAACTACACATATATAAAAAATCTGATAGTGAGGGAACAGACGATATTGCAGACCTAATTCCTATTTTTACTCCTTAGTCCTTTTCTATTTTTACCGTAACTTTTTAATAAAATTCCAAACGACTTGCGCTTGTATAAAAATTCTTATGCATGCACATAGAATATTGATAAAATTTAGAAGACTATCATCTTTATCTAATTCAACTGAGGAATTGAGCACTCGGAATTTCGTAATTCCAAGAATTGTTTAGGCTACGAAAGTTGCATGTATCTTTTAATTACTACTGTTCATAAGCTTTTGCTCGTAAGAGCAAATAGAGATACATTAACAATACGCGGTACAATAAACTACTTTTTTTTTTTTAGCCATGAAAGTCTTATTTAGTATATTGTCCACAATGAATCCGAATAATTGGATCAGTAACAATGTGATCAGTTCAGCTAATCGAAAGTTCTAATATCAGATATACGTGAGACAAGTGTGAGATAGTAATCCGTGAAAAATATACATTACGATACCAAGCTTTGGCAGAGTAGATTAGGAATGTAGACTACAACGGTCACCGAGAGGAAAGCTAAAAAATCACTGGCACTTTCAAGGACAAGGAAGAAGTCCCAAGCATCGGTAACTCGAAAAAAGGTTTCTAAGAACATTGAAACACGAGCCTATTCGTACGTGTTTGGTTCTCAAGGTTGGTAGGTAGGTATGTATAAACCTTCCATGCAATGTGCGTAGTACCCACTTACTATCGAAAGGATCAATACGGGGGACATGCACCAACAACTTGCTTGCTTTCATGAATCTCCCTCGCTAAGTCTTGGTTACGAGTCAATGTAACCCATTACACTTTTAATGCCGAGAAAAATATTTCCCTCGTCTCGATAGTCCTAATACCGTCATACGGCGAGAAACAGCACCCACAATCTTCATTTCCTATCTAAGTTTAATGTAATTTGCTTCTTTTTACGTATTGCTCGAAATTTATTAATCCATTTCGTCAAAATAGGGACGCGTGTGTGCATATGGAAATCGTAGGAACAGCGAGGATAAAAATATGTCCTGTTAGAGGTGCAAATGTTCACACAAACAAACAATCGAACGGTGAATTTTTTAAAATTTCCTCCCCCCCGTGAAAATACGTCTTCTTCCTCCAACTTGATGGGTCTTCGTATTATAAAACGAAATCAAGTACATACGCGTCTATATTTATCTACACGTCGTTATGTAGGACGGTTGTTTTGTGTGCGTGTTATATGAATAAATAAGGTAAAGTCTGATCTAAAAACGATCAAATGCCACCACGCGTGTACGCGTGTGAGCCCGCGAGCATTACAGACGTGCATTTCCGAATGTAACCATTCGTTCTGGCCGAGATTCTAAAAACTTCAGAGAATTAAAATCGTAAACTCAATCGGAATAACACGCATCTTGAATTTCTTCTCGGAAAAAAAAAAAGGGGCCATGCTCGTAGGTGACTCTCTGGTCATATCCTTCAACCTCTCTGATTTCCGGCATCTTATGATCGGACCGGTTCGGGATAACTCGTGCATGCTCGTAAGCTCTGAACGTTCGATATTGTAAATTATGTAATTGCAATATCCTTATTTACAAATTCCTTCGTCGTTACAATGCTTCCTCGGTTCGAAAAGCAGTTCGAACGCTACGAATTTCTGAGCAGAGGTATATAAGGTTGTTTTAATGCACGGAGTAATGCTCAAAATTCTACAAGAAGAATTATTATTATCCAGTTCCTCCCGAATAGATAAACGAACGCCACCGTTTTCGTGAGCACGTGAAAAATTTTCTTTTCTAATCGTTATCCTCGCACACGTCTTATCAGAGGGGTGAATACCACCCTTGTACGAACGTGACTACGAGGCTCGTGGCAATGAATTAAAATGAATGATCGGAATATGAACGAACGCGAGATTGAGAGTGCGTGTCACACGTCCCTGGCTGATGATCGAATTGTTTTGTCGGAAAGGAGTATTAGGTCATGCTGAAAATATCCGTGGTTTTTTCCGTAGTTTTAATGCCATCTATGCATTTTAAACGCTGTGTGAACACGATTCGATCTATGAACGTGCATCACTATTGATCGAATCGATCATTCGAAGATCGAGCGTAGAAATTTACGAAAAAAAAATTATACACTGTATATACGAATAACTGACGTTTCAATGATAAAAAAAAAAAAAAAAAGAAATTATATTGCGAACTCTAATAAACAAATTGATAAATTTTCCACTAAAATGAAACGTTCCATAAACTCCTTGTTACAAAAATCAAGATAATTGCCGTTTTATCTGAATCCTTATCGTCGTGTATCACTTTCATGCTTGACGTTTCATTTCGTTCTAAATATAATGCCTATAATGTTTACACGAATCGATCACGTGCGTGTATCTTCGCAAAGAGAGAAAATATTTTTGAATACAAAGTTCACGTTCGTCAATAGTTTTGTAAACGCGGATAGTTTTGCAAAACTATCGTGCAACATCGAGAGAAAAAAAAAAAAGAAAGAAAAAAGAAATCACGCGTGTCAACGCGAGTGGAATTTCGAGTGCAAAGGGGTTAAGAAAATAACTTCGTCAAATTATGTTCAACATTAACGATAGGCATCGTGTAAACACTTATGTTCAGTGATTCATTGTCAATTTATCTCCTGACCTGACCTTAACCATCTGGTTTGGTAAACATGAAATCAGCCATGATCTGCAACTACAATGAATCACACAGTATGTTAATATGAATTAAAGTGTGAAACGGTTCGCAACGCGGTACAATATCTGAATAATCTATCCTCGATGTGTCTATGAATGAAATTAGAAAAAAAAAGAAAAAAGAAACAAATTAGAGACAAAGAAGGTCGATTGTGTGCAAATTTCGTTCAAATCGATCGATAATGAAACGGAAAAGATGTTTAATCCTATACAATGGGATTTGATTAAAGTGAGTTCGATAGTGAGAAAGGCTCGAAACTATCGATAGCTGCTGCGTTTCAAGTAACATCCGCCGGAGGCGAGTAGTGTCGTTAATGGTGGGTAGGAAGTAGAATTGCGAGAGAAGGGGAGAAGCAGAAGGAACGGACGTGCATATTCGGCTTCTGTAGGGAGTATAACACGACCCGATACGATTCGATACGATCCGACATGATTCGACATGGTCGTCACAAGCTATAGTATTATACACGTTGTGTACAAACGAATCGATCAATTGTTTCATTAATGTTACGTTATCATTTGCAACGCTGTTAAGTACACGCGCTATTGTCTGATTGGTACTTAGAAACCCGAACAAAAGGCTAAATTTACGAAATTGATATCACGACAAGTCATTTATATATAACGTCATTCAAACAATTGACGAGAGTAAAGTCGTCTCTCGTCGATTTCAATGATCTTCAAATATACGATCGTCGTTACCGTGTACGCGCATTGTATTCGCAATTGAGTATCGATTATATTACTCGTTATTTCTCTTTCACTCACTCGGAATTCTCGAAACACCTATCCAGATAAGCGTCAAGATATGGTCTTGGACTATGGATGCTCTCGTGGGTAGTCCTGTAAATACATAATATCAAAAAATACTTTCGCGTATAGATCTTTGGGACTAAAGCCGAGCGATGGTTATAGCAGTGGGTCAAGAAAGTTTTAGCCTTTCTCCACTGACTTTTTTTTTTTTTACAGAAAGAAATGATGCAGTAAGAAAAAAAAAAAAACTACTCGCATGAAAATTAGGAGAAGTATCGAAGTCGTTTGAAAAAAAAAGGAAAAAAAAAATATGCAAGCCCTCGGAATTGCCAGTTTTTGCAAATTCTTCAGAGAATTAGATTTCTAGTTATAGTTAAACAATTGTTAAACTATAGTTATTCCTAGTTAATATATATATATAATAGTTAAACAATTGTTATTGCTATAGTTAAACATCCAGCTGTCTATAATTTAGTACTTGCTGGTCTAAAATTCATCTATTAATACAGTTCCGATGTTATAGCTATAACTATAATGTCACAGTAAACCAAGGACATATTTGTATATATTTCGTTAAAAGTGAGGGATCTTCTCTGGTAAGTTTTAGCACAAAAACAAACTCGTATCAACACGGCGGATCTCTGCATTTACAGAATATCTTACAATGGAAACCGTTGCCCATGGAAGCATGGCTTTCGTGCCGCGATCTGTGTTCACTCGACCAGAGGGCGTAATAAACATTGCTCTACAAACATAATTAGTTCCTTTACATAAACCGCTGGCAATGAATTATCGACAACCTCGTCCTTTCTTGTTTCATCCTTTCCGCCATTGCTTTTTCCCAAATTTCTTAGCTAGTCAATGTTTATACACCATCAGTGTATTTTCTTGAAAATTATAAATATCATTATCTAGACGAAAATAGTAAAAGAAAATTTTATCATCTTTTTCTCTTTGTTTGTCGTCAATTTTAGTCGATTTGCGCATAAACTTTCTACCCTATTTCATATCACTATCATCGGTGGCTTACGTCATGATTTTTTTTGTTTGTTTAGGTTATCTTTTAACGCAGAATTGTCATGGTTCATTATCGCTGTATGGAATAGCGCGATGAATATTAGCGTCTTTAAAATTACAAAAACGGGAGATTTTGTGCGATGAAAGTTATACCACATACAACGAGAAGTATGCGTGCCCTACTGGTAGAAGTTAAAAAATTTGAAAATCTTGATGTACAAATATACACAGTTATATATAAGTATATGAAAAAGATGTAATTGTACATGTCAGATCACAAAAATCAATAAATAATTCAGTATGTTTAAAATCAATTACAATTGTTTCAAACGAAATATAATTGTTTGTCTCGTTGATCGGAAGTCCCGAAGTACCAATTCGAAAGAAGAGACCGTCATCTATATCTAAACGCTGCCGAGGCAGAAATATAACTTCTAGCGGCATTCCAGTTGAAAAAAGATATGGTCGGGAATGCAGAAACCACTTGATCGACATTGGGTAAATATGTTCTAACGCACGAACGTTGCCAAAATATTTCAGAGTAATAATCTTCGATTGAGAGATTTCCAGTATTAGAACGTCACCGAGCAAAACCGAAGACGAGAAATTGGAGCTGTTTTTGGAAGAAAATCCATCCCAGACAACAATTTGGAATCACTTGATTTACTACCCACTTTACGTAAGTCGAGGTTCTATTATAGAGAAACAATTTTTCTGCTATGTAACTACGAAGTTCCTAGCTCCATTTTTTTTTCTCTCTTTCTTTCTTTCTCTTTTGGTAAATAAAGAGCCGAAGATTTACGTGAAAAAGACGCATTAATCAAATTTTTTTTTTTCCACGAGCAATGCATCATTCTCGAAACAATATGCGATTTCATGCTCCAGGAGGATAGATTAGGGTTACACATCGGATATTGTGACTCGGAGAGACGTCCGTGAGAGTCGACCGTGGAACATGGTCGTCACAGAGCCTAGGAATGCAAGGCGGATCAGAACGGGGACTGCCCTTCGCAAACTCTCGAAGTTTCGCAAATGTTCGGCCGCACGAGATAATCCAAGCTTGGTAACAAGATGATACACTTGGGACGGAGAATCTCGCGTACAAGCAATTGAGATCCTGAGAAGTTATCTATCAGATAACAGCGAACTGTGAACGCCAGCGAGAGTATAACATGGCAAAATGTAATACGTAACGAACCCCCGTTTCGTACTTGTAGTCGTTGCGGTCGGTGATAGGCTTGTTTTGTACATATCGAGAACTGTTTGTCTACAACATTCGAAGAAGCGAGACGAAACGAACGAAAGAAAAATTCCAACGTATTCTACATGGGGAAATTCGGCCAATAATTTTTGTTCGTGACTGTACTCGAGCGCAAAAACTGTGGCCACTGTGTGACCAAAAGGCGGATTCGCCTGCTCAGAATAATAAACCTGCTATGACCTAATGGCGAACGTATGCGGTCGGTAATTATCATTTCAATTTCAAATTCGAATTAACATTAGAACTACCAAAAGTGATCGAAATAACCAATTTATAATTTTTGTTAGATAATTTCGTAGACGTACGTAACAGTGTATTCTCAAAGATAAAGACGTTAAATAATTTTTCGTAAAATATATAAATAAAATAAAGTATATATATTTCTGAAGCTTGTGCTACAAAGTTTCTCTATTTTTTTTTATTTATTTATTTATTTATTTTAATGTCTCTGATGGAAATATTATGCTTCAATCACAAAGGTGGTTCTAGTGATAAATAAAATCTTATTACTGTGAAGTAAGCTGAATTTTTGTTCCAGATGGTAGTTTCCCAAACAATTGTGAACAATTGTATTCCTTTAATAATATTTACTCGTGTATTCTTCTACCTAATGTATTCCTTTAATGATCATTTGAACGCTATAATACTCGCGAGGAGTAAGTGGACATCTATCCTAGACACTAAATAAACAAATTTTTTCCACAGCACATACAAACTTTCCCGTTTCACTTCATTGTCATCGATTACGTTCGAACGTGTCTTCCTTACTTCAATCTACTTGACTCGACTCGACTTGTGATATTTAAACATGTGAAGGAAATAACACACGGGACTAACACGCACGTAAAGATAAAAATGAACGAAATGCGAAAGAAGAAAAGGGGAGGGGGTGAGAGAGATAGAAAAAGTACACGCGAAAAATAGCTTACCCGTGCTCCGAGAAAACGGGCCTCCAATAACTCCTGCTTCCTTGGGTCCAGGGTGGCCTGAAAGTGCTCCATCTTGACACCAGCGCCTAGAAAAACAGCATCGCGATTGTTAAATCAAACCGAGGGATTAGAAGCAAATTTCACGAATGAAACAGTAAATTTAGATATCTTTCTTTCTCTTTCTCTCTCTCGACAAGGAGACGTTTTAACGCCGAGGCTATCCCAAAATGCACCAAAACGAAATGGTACACGATGTAGAGTTTGGGAAAATTATATGTCTTTTCGGGAGCTTGAAATTTATTTGTTGTTTTTTTTTTCGTACAATAAGTGTTGAACGAAAAAAAAAAAAAAATCAACTTTATTCACCGGTTAAAAATATACCAAAACAACAATAAAGTTGAAGCACAAAGCAGAAACTTTATTCGGAGTGGAACAGAGGTTCACCAAATTTGGTGCACGCGGCATTCAAAGTGTTAAGCACGTAAAGAGATTACCGAAAGTAGAAACAACAGTTTCTACGAAACAATTTTCTTTGCTTTATTGTCTCGAATCATGTATCATCGATGTTAGAGATGCCCCCATTAAATCAAACTCTCTCTCTTATAATTTTTCGTATCGTAAAATAGTTTAGAGTAAGACTCGTAATGTGGCGATATTAAAGGAATTTAATATGTATTTTTCAGATGATGCTGTCACTCGATAAAAAAAAGAAAAGAAAAAGATCAGAGGAAAAAGATCGATCGATCTTTCTGGAATCGTACTAATGATATTCACGGTAATGATATCTTACGACGACACTGATAAAAAATCAAACCACGACCGCGGAAGAATTTTAGTTAGAGGTGTGCCCCGAGTAACATACGATTTTCTACCCAATAACAAAATCAAAGGCTTCACGTGGTGTTCATTGAATTGAGAATTCCCTTTGATTCGTCAGATAACTGTCTCTTAGTTGGTAAGACTGGTGACACCGGAAGTTAAACGGAAGGCGACGCAGGTAGATAAAGAAGATGTGCAAGAAAACGGGAAATAGAGAAATTACAAATGTACTCGACAGAAGCTTCCAGACAGTGCTGTCCCATTAGTCCATCGCTGTTGACTTTCCTAAGGCAGAACATTCGAAAAGAAAAATGACCGAGACACAAAGAATGATCAGTGATTAGAGGTCTGAAATTCAAGGTCGACGACAATGAGGACGTTAGGGAAATTTTCAGGCTAGAAGAAAGGAGGGCCTGAAGTAAGTAATAAAATATTCGACATATCCAGATATTTGATTCTTTTCAATTTTCTTGTCGAGTTTCTTCGCGAAACGATGATAAAATTGAATGAAAATATTTCAGGTAACGAAGAGAAGAATTGCAAAGAATAACTACTTACATGATCATGTGTACTCGCAATAAAATGCAAAGAAACAATGATCAAAGATTTGTCTAGAGGAACAGTCTGCAAGATGACAAATTCTTAGAACGAGGAAGAAGTATTTGTTAAAGTTCTCGGTTGTTAAAATTCTCTTAGCTCTTAACGAGATCGAGACGTTGTTTTCAACAGTAAGAAAAGTTTAAAGAGCAACGAGTAAGATTAAGGTATAATATGACATGAGTGGAGGGAAAATCGACAATTCAGAACGTGTGGTCTAAAAGAGGAAAGTTTTTGCCATGTTTGGAATCGTAGCGGAACGTGCGGAAGGGCAGAGGTAGGAACGAAGAAAAAAGTTGTACACACATACACACACATATATATATATATATATATATATAGTAGAGAATTTAAAAGAATTCTAACCGAAGGAATGTTAAAGACAGGCAGAGACCTCCGCAATATGTTTGCAAGGGGGTGATCGTCTTTCTGATCACAGCGAAAGAAAAACCTGGAAAGGGATCTAGATCTTGCTGAATCCAATGGAAACGGCGGCTGCGACATTAAACTAATTGTAGAGAAGATTCCGCACATTTTGCAAAATTACTGTTACGTTAATTTTACAAAATTTCCAGGAGTGAGTATCTTGTGAATATCACTATTTTCACTGAAGTAAATTAATGTTTCAGCATAAACTATTTCACGTTTCATAGACTACTATGTTTCTGTTATAAAATCGATTTTTTTTTTTTTTTCACGCTAAATAATCGAAAATGAGTAATTTGGTATTTTTCTGAGAAATAATTCAGGGACACGTTGGAAGATTTGGACTTGGAGGAAATCTCTTTGACCTTGCTGAGAACTTCGAACGTCTCGCGTTCGTTCGGATATCGTCTCACCCTTATCAAAAGGGAGCAGACCAAGAGCGCATGGAAGGATAGTCGCGACACTCAAGATGTCGTCGACTGGGAAAATTAACATCTTCTATTCAGAAAATAGATTTCACTCAACATTCGAATGGAACAAGCACGAACGTACATTGCCGGCCATAAATATTTGAATATCTATTATAAAATAAATATTTCATCTTTTCTTTCATTTTCCAAGATACATGGAGGTATTTCAATTCCGTCTTTGACGATTAAATATTTTAAATCGAACGAAAAAAGATAAAAACAATACAAAACTTTGGTTTTCTCAGACGTTTCGAAACGGTAGATAAGATGCGTTAACTAACGATTTTATTGTGAATTTATGATTTTCTTCTCATACTACGCGTGAAATATTAATTAAAATAAAAATTTGTCAGAGTTCGCCAATAAATCTAGTGCCAGTACAATACTTATGTGTGCATTTCAAATTAAATATATTTGTTTCATCGCGAGTACGATTCGCATCAGTTCTCCTAATTAAAATATATCGTGGTTGAACAATTACTCGACAATGTTTACTACATGTTCGCATTATGATCGAAAAATTAACAGAGAAAAACATAACACGATAAAAGACAAACGTTGAATTATATTTCACTCTTGGAAAATAGAACCAAAATTTTCGACTATTCAAATTGATATCCGACATACAAATTTGATAAAAAAATATGTCAAAGACTATTTATCATTTTCTATTATGAAACAAAATAATTATGCCAAAATTTCAATTTCAATTTAATTATCTGTAACACTCCATGAAATACAGAATGTACACCACCTCACATAAAATAAAACATATGCGTAAGCCTAAAGTGATATTTAATGTTTCAGCTAAATATAATTATAGTTTTAGAAATGTTCAACAAGTTTATGCGTACAAAAATTGGAATTTTTCAATGTAGATCATTCTAAATGACAAGGACATTGAAATATTTTTTACTAATACCTTTTTTAATTTACCTGAGAAAAGTTATGAAAATTGTCCATATTAAAATTTATTATTAAAAATTCAGCAGTCAGTTAAAAAGAAAAAGAAGGATCCACTTTTTTACTTCTATAAAATTTAATTATGCAATCTTATGCTACAATTTTATTTATGCATTCAATTTGAATTTTATTTGTATTTAATTTGACTTTGAGCTTTTTAAGGAATCTTAACTGAGACCTTTAATATCATATCTCAGTTAATAACAGAAAACAATATTACATAATCATACATTTAATTAATGTAAAATAAATGCAACAAAATGAAAAGTTCTTATAATAGTATTTTTAATAATTTAGTCTCATCATGCTATGACTAAGGAATACGTAACATTCACTTAAATAAAATAAAATAAATAAAAAGTATTAAAATAAGCATTGACTAATTATTATGTGCAAAAGATTGTGTAATTGCATTTATATATATGTAAAATTTACAATTAATTGTAAACATAAACATGCAACATTTATTTCATCTATATAAATTATAAACAAGCCACAGCATTATATTAATAATTCTAATTTTTTAATATCTAATATAACTTTAAGCAAATATATTAGTAAAAGAATAAGAACTACCGTGCTTTTCAGGTTAATAAATTATATCTATGTAAATTATAATAAATTATTAATCTGTTGTAAATAATAAAATGACAATAGGATTCACTTTTATATGCAATATTTTATTTTATTTAACAGACTAAAGAATATAAAAAGCAAAAGTATATCTGTTATGTCTTGTCTATCGAAAGCAACAATCTGCAGGATTTTTGTAACTTTAATGATAAAAAGTAAGAGTATATCTATAATTCATAATTTTATAGTCTACTTGTAATCAAAAGCAAAATTGTGAATCATATTTCTCTACTATTTTCTCATTACTGAAATATCATATACTAATAGATCTTTTAATTTCAATATTCCAGTAGTTTCATGTGATAAGAGTGTTTGTCTAACTTAAATTAAAGAATGCGTATTCATAAAATATAAAAACTATAAAACTTACCACCACCAGAATTCCAACAATTATCAGTCATCCCTGTTTATCCATCTGTAAAGTTGGCACTATATTATTACACTGACATCCAATTTGTTCTATTATATCACATCACAAATATATTTTGTCAGAAATATGCACTCTTGATGCACTTTTGTCAGTTTCTTGAAATCGTTAAATAAACTCCTAGCTTCGTCGAATCTTCATACACCAATAAGAGCAAATGTTATATTAGAAATTTCACAACACTCTTTGCATACAATATCAAGTATTTCTATGAATTATCTCCATGGATATATTTGTTTTAACCCCCCTTAATTACCAAATTTCACATTTTTATATTTACTCCAATTTTAAGAAAAAAGATACTGAAACTTTTAATATTAATATAGATCACTTTTGCATTTCAATTGATATTCTAATGTATTGTTCTATATATATACAATATTGTTGTATTTAGTTTATTAAATAGATTGGATTAAAAGATGAGTCATTTTCTATGCAGTGACAAAGCGTTCATGTCAGATGTGTAACAAAATATACACTGTGATTTAAAACTAAATTATCCAAAAGTTTTTTTTTTGATAAAAAAAAGTTAGTTTCTCAATTTTATAATATTTTTAATTGAACATAAATATACCTGTACAGAACAATATCTATCTCTTTCCAAAATTCTAATATCACAATTTCATGCATATGATCTCTCAAAAAGGTTCATATTTTTATTTTCTTTTTACAGTGATAAATTTTTTAAATAACAATCCATACTGCTTATATAGTGATAGTATCTAGAAAAATGACTGCCACATTAACCCCAAGAATATATTAGACAAACAAGAACACATCTGAATGAGGGATGATTAGTCAAACGGTGTAATGAAATATAAAATAATCTGCCGAAATCTCGTCCTGATTGTGCTTTCAAATGATCGAAATTCACGTAAATGGAGGATATTCCACTGAATATTAAGAAGAGGTTATGAAACCTTGTAAATAAATGAAAACCACATCGAAGGCGATACGGTGTCACGGAATGACTGACGATTCGTTAAAGTTAACGGAGAATCGAATCATTTCGAAACAAGATATCGTTCGCTCGAAGTGCGGTAAAGAACTGTATCACAGGCTGTATTACAGTCAACTCAAAGCTTGAAACAAAGTACAAAGTCGTTTTTGTCGCGCGACCAAATCAGTGAGAGAACCACCCCCTTATAATTTTTTTCCTCTCAACAACGCCTTGAGAATCCGGGGACTCGTTTGGCAAACTTCAATATATTACCATATATGGTCAATCGGGAATCATATTGTCATAACAAATTTGCAAGACGGTGTGTTTAACGAGCGAAAAGATTTCAAAGGAGCAGGCTACTTGGAAACTAGACTTGACATCGTGACGATTCTTACGAAAGCACAGAGAAACGATCGTGATACACACGATTATGAACGACCTAGTGGTACAACAGGGTATCTCTCTGTATTGTCCGTGTTACACCGTTTCCCCTCCCCATCACCGTTCGTTCCTTCGCTACTTCCTTAGATAATTCTATCTTTTTTCATACTGACCAGCAAGGTTAAATGCTCATCAATGTGAAACAATGTATGCGTCGTGTTCGTGAATTTCAGTGGTCGGTTAACAAATGCCCTGTTCTGTTAACATACCTTGTGAAACATAATAAAAACACCCGTTTCTTCCTCCTACTTAGTTTTTGTCCCTTTCCTCTCTGCTCTATCTAACTACCTTTTTCCTTCTCTTTCACGGCATAGCGCATTTTGCTTATCGAAAGAAAGGGGAAAACTCATCTGGAAAATGGCTGCCACCAGCCAGTTACCGATTTATCCCTTTCTCGCATAGCTAGTCTCAACGTGAGATTGTAACAAGTAAGAAAACGTGAACTCAGCGAATACTCTTTTCTATTTAACACAGTGGATCGTTGTTATGATCGGAACACCGATTACGCGACAGCACAAAATGTATATTCTAGACGCCGGCACATACACGTAATAATATCGCACTACTTGCTACTCCGTGAGAGTATACGTACTAGTTTTTTCCTCCAGAAATCTTACGGCAAATCTTTCTTTTTATCACCTGTACATAAGCAACGGAACACTTCGTCAACACGCGGCGATCTATCACGGGAAAGTCACCGTAGCGGACAGTAACCATCAGCGTCTTAAAATCACTCCAAATTTTCTTTTGCACGTATTTCAACGACAGTGACGTCGCTTCACCATGGCACTCGCACGAGTTTCTCTGTCTCACTCGCATCAATAGTCTCTTTCGCCACCTTACGACTTCGGGTATTATCGGTGAACTACGATGTTTATTCGGCACATCGGCTGACCAGTCACTGTTCACACCGAGATCGTCTCTGCTCTCTTCGTTTACCTATTACATTGCTACTTTCTGATAGGCACTACTGTCGCTAACTAGACTTCCAATTAGCGAAAACACATGTACAGGGACCAATCACTTTTAACAACCGAAATCCATTTTCCGTCCGGCTCGTTAGCTTTGCCTGAGAATGCAAAATAATTCACTTATCACCGAATAAGAAAAATCGTCTTCTTACGGAACCACCACATCGTGCTCATTAATCTACTTAGGCATACGTACGCAGTACAATGTGTATGCATGTGCTGGCAGAGCATTCGGTGCAGAGAAGCATGATACGCGCTTTAAAATGAAATTGTACCAATTATGAGCGCATGGCATACAGGTGCATTCGCATTTCAACTTGCCACTTATATTCTAGCGCCGTGACTTATGGTGTTATCGTACCGAGCGGAATTGTGCGTATTAATTTTCGCTTTGAAGACCGAAACGATGTAGTCCTCGTCGATGCCAGTTATTCATTTACCGATGCTTTTATAATTAATCTTATTTTTCTGCAAGGGTGTAACAAATATAGTTAAGTCTTTGAACCTGCAATCCGCTTAAAATATTACTTGAATCGATATTTCTTTTTATAGACATTGATATTTCCCTTTCATTAATTATTGTTTTAAAAATAAAATTCACACGTAACTCTATACATAACTCCAAATGTTTTCTCGTGTTGAACTTCAAGATTTTACAAGTTAAAATTATAGTTCATTTATTTTCAAACACTTCGTAATGTATTTGTAAGTCATGCTTATACACACTTATTGCATAAAAATACCTAAGGTTAAGGAGCGTAATACGTAGAATTTTTTATATTTACATGTACAAATGTTTTAGAAAATTGAATGTAATGCTTGTTTTTTAAAGTAGATGTTTTTTTTTATTGTGTATTCTCAAATAAAACTTTTGAATAAATATGATGGTCCTTTCTTTTAATATTCATCAATTCGAGGAATTTTTTGCCGCGATTATCCTAGCCGCCATCTAATATCATAGATATTATCGATTTTTTTGTATAATTATTACAAAGAGGAAAAGTTATAATATAATTTACTAGTGAAAAATATCCTAAAAAAAGTATTTCGAATAAAATCTAAAGAAAATAAACTAAGGAAGTATAAGTTCGACTCGAGTTTATTCGAGGTTTGCTAAGATTAGATAGACAATCTCGTCTACCGTGTTACTTTTACAGTTATCAACTGAATATTAAATAACTCGGAACAGTATTAACACTCAAAACAATGTCACTGAAATTTAATCGCGTGAAAAGTTCCATTGCTTTCGCTACTTTATTTCGTATGGTTTTTAATAAACTTAAATGGAACATTCAATAGATTATAAATAAAAAAAAAAAAGAAATCCACAATGAACTCACGTTTCAATATATTTTATTACAGAATTGTTACAAAAAATTAAACATTTATTGTATCAATTAAGTAAAATTGTACAATATTCTTTTTTTGTGAATTTTGTAATTTTAAAATTGTTGATTGGTGAATTAACAATTATCATTGTTTAATTGTTACACACGACTTTCTAAGTCGTCACATTTAAGATATTTGAAAGTTTTTTTGAACTATTTTCTATATATATAAATTTCTAATATTACGGTCTGTCATAAATATTTTTTACTACAATATTTTCTTGATTTTTTTTACGTTAAATACTTTATATAACTTCACAGATAAATGCAGTATTAAATCTAACGTACGTAGAAAAATCATTATTACGAATTTAAGAAAGAAAGAACATTTTTTCTACTAAGAAAATTTTCTTTGAATTAAGTTGCTAGCATTGACTACTGTGTTTGATTAAAAGGTTTCATCTGAATACATTGATCTAAAATATCGGTTCCTACTTGGATTAAATAAATTTCTTATTATTGCTGTTAAACAAATTACTACTTATTTACGATATATATGTCATTTTTTAAATAAATAATTTATATTCAAATATAAAAAAATTGAATTTTACACATGATAAAAATATTTAAAGTTGAAGGTGTTATTCAAATAAAAAATATTACTTCCGTTCGATTTTAGAAGATAAAATTCGAGAATATATTTATATTCAAATTTTTTTTTTTTTGGATTGAATTGATCGAACAAAACGACAGTGCAACATTCGATATCAGACATCTGGTTTATGTAATAATTCCTCGTACAATACATAATTTAGCAGTCATTTAGAGTAAATATTACAAATTAACAAATTTTATCATATATATATACGCATGTACACTTGCATATTTCCACATTCATTCGTTCTAACATTATAGATTTTTTTGAATTAATATTAAATAATATGTAATCTCTTTTTATCTATAATATTAATAAAGAATTCGATGAATAAATTTTTAGAAAGAAAATAAATAAAATAATAAATATATGGCACGTGTAATATATTGATAAAAATAATATATTAGATAAAATGCAAATGTTATCACATGTAACGAACCCTGTTTTATGGATAAATAATTAAATAAAAGTTAACAAAGTTTTTACTTTACATATTATAAATATCTATCTATATATATATACACACAAACAAAACATTGTTATTTATAATTGGTGGAAATTTAATAATAAATTTACGCATATAATACATAATACAAACATACGTACATATATTCATTCATATACGTGATGACTAGTATAATAGTTTTATAGTATGAAAGCCAAATACATACATGTAAAAAAATTTCTCATACTGATAAATCTCGCACAAGTCACTTTTCCTTTTCCCTATTGTAAATTATAAATCCTGTGCCAGAAAATTTGGCACGTGTACAGTAATTGTTATTTTTTAATTAATACAATTTCATACTAATTAATTTAAAATTCTAATAATTATAGACAAAATTTCGCAATTACCAATTTACTTACCGTTTTAATTAACTTGTACACACATATTCGTTAATAATTTTAATTAATAACTTTCCCTAACTTCTTTAATAAAAATTTCATGAATATTGTAACTAGTAGGCAATGCATCTTTACTTAAATATTTCATCTATGCTCTATCTTACTATTTTGTTTTATTATTTAAACCCAATCGACAAATGTTTTTAACTGTAAAAAATTATATTAAATACTTGTTAAAATATTGTTACAAGTTGGTAAAAAAAAATCTGTAATGCATTTTCTATTTTACTTAAATACAAACATTGATGACTGCTTAGTCTAACATAATATAAATACTCTCTATATACTCGTTACAAGCGTGAAATTAAGATTTTTATACTTCATATATCATCTATATAGACGCAATAATATATTATAAACAATGTATTTCTATTATTTGTTTTAAAATTATTAAATTTTTATAAAAAGAAAAACTAATTATAAGTATCTTCATTTTTCTACTATATGATAAGATGTACAAATATGTTATATAGAGATCCATATTTAAAATTAAATAAAAATTTTGACTTTGAAACAAGGATGATAATCCGCATAAAAAATACTACCAATAAATACAAATATGCTATATATTATTGAAATAATATTTAAATACTTTCTTCCATTTTGTTGTCCTTTCTCTCATATATATGTATATTACTACACACGCACACTTACGCAAGATAAAGATCCAGGTACTTGTTAATAAAATATAACTTACTGCACGAATAAAAATAAATATCATTGCAAAATAATTTAGTGAAAAAACACTCTTTTCGATTAGCAAGATCGACAATTATGAAAAGAAAATAATTAACGAACTAATATACAAACGAAACATTAATATAAAATATAATATACATTATACTTTTCCTCACCATATTTATCACATTGATACATTCTATTATTCAAAATTTTATTACAATTACTATTCGTTTCGTAATTTATATTTTTTCTTAGACCTATTTTTCAGAAATATCTAACTTTTCTGTTTTACATACTTGCTATTTGCATAGTATGAATAAACTCTACCATATTTATTTAAAGATAGTAAATGTACTATCACTCTTTTAGGAGTCGAGAAAAAATGAGAGCCCTGGTAGCAAAAATCGAACCCGCGACATTCATATTTTGTCGGCTAGCCAACTGTAACCAATGCAACTCCACTAAGGCACCCTCGATGATTCCTCGTGTTACTCCTATTTATTGGATATGGAGGCTCCAATCTCAGACTTTTTTTTATCTGACAAGGACTCATCCCGAAGTGAATTATGAAATTCTCATTTATATACGAACAGGTGAAATCTGTCAAAATGTAATAATTTGTAATATATTATTAAAAACAAGCGTATTTTTTCTTTCTATTAAAAAATTACAAAATTTATTTTCACCATTTTCCCTATATTTACTGATTCTCAAGATTTTCAATCTATAATGTGGATGATTGCCGATAAAAAAAAAAAATTAAATAAAAATAAAACAAAAAAAAGATATAATAAAACTCGATCAAAATCGGTCACTTCGAGATGATTCCTTAAACGTTAGCTTCATAGTTATTCTAATAAATAACTGGAATCTGTATAACTGTTCGTATTAATCCGTAACTATCCCGAAATCTGTATTACTAGAAGATACATTAATTTCTTCATTTTCAACAGCAGTTTTATTAGCTATATTTGAAAGTGTTTGATGTATAGTTGAGGTTTGATTGTCAGCAATTTTTCCTTCCTCTACTGGTTGAACTGTCGTTAATGTACTCCACCAGTTAGAAAAAGCTCCTTTAGCTTGTGACAGTGCACCACCTAACAAATAAAATATAATGCATTCGTTTATTGCTCATACGAATGTATAATTCATAAGTCATACGTATCTGTTACGAAATGTTAATTAACATGTTAAAATTAAAATACTTTTAATTAAAACAACCGGAATAGAACGTTGTAGAATTTTTCTTCTTTTCTTTACAAGAATGTATACAAGATTACATTTAAAAAAAATACTTTCGATCGTGAAATTCCTTAAAAAATGTTTTACAGAGGAATTTTTTATTCCTCTGTATATATTTTTCATGTCACCATAAGTGCGAAAGATATGTGATAAATATGATTTCATAATTTAAATGGTACAATTTTTATAAACGAGTGTTGGAAGTTTCAAACATTTCTGAAATATCATTATTGTTATTTATTATTTTTAATCTAAGATTTATAAATCAAACATTTTCTATTTTATTTTGGAAGATGTGTATGATATCATCATCTCACGCGTAATAATTTTTGTTACGTCCTTTAACTTGCAGGATAGTCAAAACAAAGACGACAATAATGGGAAATTATTGCAATAATAATTTGTAATGCCCCAGTAAATATTTCTGTGCTTTTAACGATGTTTTCGCGACATCCATTAAATATTTTATTAGGGAGTTTTAGAAAAATAGTTTCGATGATTCGAAACGAAAATTCATCTTATTTTTACAGTTAAAATGTGGAAAGGGAAGAAAATTATTGTAAATGTAATTGTAAATAAATTTACAATCATTTATAATCTTTTTCCTTTTCGGAAATAGACTATGTTATTTTTCTCTAATAATTCGAAATTTATTATTATTAAAGATTATTATTTAATAAATTTTGTGCGTTTACTATGGTAACCAATTAAAAGAATCGTTTAACATTTCTTGGAGTTTCAAAAATTAAAAAATCGTCTTGTTGAATAACTTGAAGCATTTACGCTATTATATTATATAATAAATATAAGAAAAATAATTAATATAATCACTACAAATCTCTCAAGAAATATCATAATCATAACTATTGGTATTGCGAGAATTAATAAGATATTTTAGCCTATTAATGGTGAAGTTTCTACTTACCTACAGCTTTCCCAGTCGTTGCTACCGCTCTTCCAGTCGATGCCATTGCTTGATTCAATTTTCTACCACTTTCTGTATTTTGCATTGTACTGGAATTAGTATATTAATTTAGTTTTACATATTTCTCATTCCATTTTTAATTACCAAGGTTATTAAAAACTTACTGTGATAATCGTAATTTCATATCCTGTACTGACAATTGTCCTGCAAATGGGTGACCCGGTTCTATATTATTAATTTCTGACTTATTAGAACTACTCCATATCTTATAGTTATTCGTTAAGCGCCAAGCAGCTATAAATGCAGAATTGTAATGATCAGATTGACGAGTATCTTGCTGCATAGATGTTCTCAACATGCTCAACAAATAAACTCGAAATTGAGTTCTAATCCATTCATCTCCACCTTCCCATCCTACACCATCCAAAAATATATCTTTACGTGGCTCTGCTACATGTCTGACTATGTAATCTGCAAATCTTAAATCTTCAGTTGTAAGATGCAATTGTCTCCTTAATTCTGGATCACTTGTTTCTATCCTCGTATTTTCAATCTTAACACACATTTTAATAAACCCAATTATCATTAATACAGTAGTTTTTATTCAGAACAAGATGTTTCATTTAAAACTTACCTCTACTAATACATCAATAAGTTGTTTTTTCTGTTTAAATAAAACATTTGTTGCACCTACTATGTATCCTCTAACATTAATATCTGCCAAAAGATCTAAGTATGGTAAAGATAGGTATGGCAAACACAGGTAACCCTTAAAAATATTAATGAATTATTAATGATTTATAACATTTTCGATACAAGCAAAGATTAATGATCTTCATACCTTTGTAAATATGTTTAAAGGTAAACCACACAATTCTGGATTTATATGAGCAATTTGAGTAATATTATTTGTTAAACGTGCATCAGAAAGAGCATCATTACTTGTATCACGTGGCAATGTATTATCGGTGTCTGTTGTACTTAATGTAATTGTATGTATACTCTGTACCCTGTGTATATTGTCATTTGGCTTCGAAGAATATATAGAATTATTTTCTTCTGAATAAGATTTGGTACATTCTTGTGCTGACTCAACTTCAATAACTTTCATATTTAAATTTTCATTTTCATTATTATTTTTTTGTACTGTTATATTTTTAAATTCATCCATACATTTACCTTCCATAGTTTCAATATCTTTATTATCGTTTATGCATAATGAATTTCTATCAGAATTACCGTTAATATGTACTGTCGTTCTATCAGATATGCTTTCTTTGACACAATTCGTAGAAGTTAAATTATTATCAATGCTATTTATTGATATTTCTTCTTCATCAAATGTAGGAATAGGAGACATAGGTCTGGATGGTCTAAAAAAAAAAAAAAAAAATAATAATAATGAAGTGCAAGCTACTAAAACAATGTAATTAAAAGTCTTTTTTATATTGAATACACTACCTGACACATGCAGCTTGTTGTAAACCATGTTCTATCATACCAGGATACAATGAGAGTAATGTTAATATAGTAGCACATAATGGTTGAACTGGCGACTGATAAAAAACTATTTTTTTCTCTAACAGAAGCAGTTTAAATAGTAAAAGAACTTTATGGCGAAACTGCAATATGAAATCCCTTGCGGATAAACCTACAAATATTAATTTTTTTACGTAAAATATTTACTTAAATTATTTTCATTTAAATAAAAAATATCTGATTATTGATAGTTACCAACAAAGATTTGTGGAGGTATTTGACTCTCACAACTCATACAAGAATTAAGATGATGATAAGTATCTTCCAACAATGATACTTTACTAAAGTCACCTTCTTCAAAATATGCATGTGTTATCAATGCCATTTTGACTTGAATATGGCCATATAATGGTAAAGTGCTTAATACACAGACAGATTTTTGAACTGTACCTCTTGTTATATCAGATGTGCGATTTTTCAATTTCTGAAAATGCATAAATGTTTAAATAATATCATTTTTCACAATATAAAGGTACACAGAGCATAATGAATATACACAGAGCATAATGAATATACACAGTACAATTAATAAAAACATGATTTTTACGGTGAAAGAGGAGATAAGAATTATAGAATAAATTCTTTTAATCTATTGCATAGTTTTCGAGAAAAAAACTTAGAATTTTAAATTATAGGTACAATTTATTGCATACTTATTCGTGGAAACAAACTTCAAAAATTCATCTACCATGCACTTGGTATATGAATAATGTTGACACATATAATCATTAATTGAATTACAAAATTGTTTGACCTCCTACCTGAATTGGTACATTAGATGATGCTTAATAGTTTATTGTAACACTAACTTCCAAATGAACCACATGCAAGACATTGACATTGGAGTTTAAGTAAATATAATGTTTTTTTTTAAATTTTTAAAAATAAAATTTCATCTGGAAAACTGTAAAATAAGAATTACTTAGATTTTTGGATATTACAAATTCTTTCCAATACTAAAGAAACCCTATATATATATAATTTACCGTAGTAAGATGAAAAAAAATTTTGTACTTATAATCAAGTCAAAGAACAAAATTTTACACTGATGGTTAAATCAAAATCAACTATTTTAATATTGGTAATTCTATAGATAATTTCATAAAATATATTAGTAAGTTTATTAATAACATTTTCTACGAGCACCGTAGAACATCCTATAATACCACAGATTTATTTAAATATATTTTTAAAGTTATTTTTCTCGAAAATTACACAGCGTACAAAATGTATTTAAGTTTGACATTTTAATAACATATCCTAAAATTAAAAGGTATTAGTTTTCTAAATAAGATACTTTTGTTACCTCAACAGGAATTTGTCTAAAACATGAAATGCCATATATTGTACGTTTTGGATTATTCAGACTAGGCAAATGAAAGTAAACTGTATCTTCGTCATAATTATGAGATCCATCTGGTAATGCAAGGGTTGGTAAATACTTCCAACCTAACGGACACTCATTTGGAGCTCCAGGTACCAAAGGAGGAAATGAGTATTCTACCTAGTAATAACATGTAATACCATTTATAAATATTATGAATGTAAAATTCCTCAACATTATTAACAAACATTATTAAGCAATACAGTTATAATATACGAGATACAGAAAGATCACAAAATTTATATGTTTTCACAAAATTATTTTTATACATGTATAATAAATTAAAAATTTCCTAACTTATGAAATATTTAAACATCATAGATCAAATAACATTTTATCATAGAAAAATACGTAATACGAAATGCGTACCAGTAGATTAGGTTACAAAGCTGTCTTAGCTAAAATAGCAAGTGACTTACTTGACATCCTTTTTTGTGATGAAATCCGACGACAATTACGTGAAGTATTGGTCCAACTGATTCTGCCATATTTTGAGAGTGTGTGTTACATAAAATTCATATATATTGCACGATCGTTCTCGTATATATTTTTTAACTTATATATTTACTTTAAATGAGAAAAATATACTTTTCTGTTACCAGTTCAACTACCCACACTTATACTTAGCACGCGTTCTCAACCACCATGTTAACTTCATGCTTACCAACTACGCTATTTAATTACAGCCTAGTTTAAACATAAACCACGGGGGAAATAAATTTGGCAATAGTGCTTCGATAAACATAACCTCTCGACAGATCGCCTGCAACTTTATGAAATATTTGTTTGTGCTAATATATATTGTCATGGTAAGTGATACAATAAAACAATTATATTGTAGCATAATAAAATACATAACATACATATGATGTAGGTTTGCTTAGTCCGCACTAGCCGTAACATGTATATTCCGGTGCTTGAGAAAAGCGATGTTGCCATACTTTCAATTTATTTCTGAAGAATATAATTTGTTTCATTGTATCAAATACTGGATTCCTGTTTGTACTTTGCACTTTAATAAACAATTTTTTTTCACTATATAATGTAGCATACAAAAGATTTTTTATTATATCAATTATATATATTATGACAATATATATCAAATGTCTTACACATAGCATAGAAATAATTGGGAATAAATCTTTATTTTAGAAAATTAACTGCAATAAAATAAAGGAATACTTTTCATTTTAAAATTACTTTTATTGTCAGATACTTTCTTTTGTCAGTGATTTAATGGAAAAAATTATGTAATTATACATCAGTTTATCATGTTAAATCTTGGAAAACAATAATTATGCAAGGACTATCATATATTATCAATATTCATCAACATGATAAAAGTAATAAAAAAATGTAATAAATATTTCAAAAAGTTTTGATAAATATAATTGTTTAATAAAAATGTATATTTAAAAATTAGAAAATTATATATTTACAAAATTACATGTTTTTTTAATTATAATAATAACACTTATTTTATTCGTTATAAAACAAAGAATTAATAAGAAAACAAATAATTATTTAAATGTAACAAAGAGATATTAAGAGAAATTTTTTATTGTACAATTTCTTTCAAGAAAAGTATATACAATTATAGAAAATAAAATAATTTAATTTATGTCATATTACAAATAGGTTTTAATATGACATTTGTAGATTTTAATTATCTCAATTAAGTATTTTTTTTAAACCTATTAACAAAATTGACTATACTGTACCAATTCTGTAAAGACAGTTTCACCAATTTACATTCTTGATCTTTTATAAAGTCTATCTATAGCAGTGGTCCTGCTGTGTTCTCGCGGAGTATCCTCCATTTAAAATTGTAAGAGCGCTATGCTCATACTTGGGCAGAAATATTAGATTTTCTGCCATCAGCCTCATAGCTGCCTCTCTTCCCTATGTTAAGAAGAAGGAAGAAGAGGAAAAAGATGGGTGGAAAGAGTTGAGCCTTGGAAGACGCGCTACCTGCGTACATTAAATCCCCGTGTTCCATCTGGTCCAGTAGGCATACGAATAACGTTGTTTGGTACCCCACTGCTACTTGGAGTTATTGATTTTGGCTGAATTTTATTTATTTCTTGCATTAATTTTTCTTCCGGACTTTTTTCTTCGCCTAATATTCTTTTTCGTGCTTCTGCGTATTCTTGTTCCCTCTAAAAACATTTTTTTTTAGTAATTTTAAATCAATTATACAATCTTTCGTTCCAAGGTGTTAAGAATATACCTGTTTTAAAGATTTAATTGGTTGTTTTGGTTTATCTCCGTTCACTAATGGTCCATCGCCACTACCTTGTGAATCTCTTGTAGGTCTTTTTAATATTTTTACTGTTGGCTTTGGAGGTACATATTGAGATCTCATACCATCTTCTCCTAACATTATCATTCTGGTACCCGTATTGTGACTGGACTTGAAACTAAGACATTGCAATCACAAAACATAATTATTTAAAAAATGAATTAGAAATTAATGACGATTAAAAATGAATTATAAGCATAATTTTCATTCATAAATCTTTTAATATCTTAATTTATGACTATTTTATAACAACTGTAGATCAGAATTTTATTTTGCAAATATCTTTTGAATAATAATTCTTTCATATTAGCACTTTTCCCAAAATTCCAAAGGCTTCTTAATTTTTTATTCATTTTATATGCCTTAGATATTTTTTCGCTTAGATTTTGTATGACTCCCCATAATTTTCTGGTTTAATTCTTTATTCTTTTCTGAATTTATAAGTCATCTTTATTTACTGATTTTATTTCTCCAAATACCATACATACCATATATATATCAAAATTTTCTGACTGACATTTCTAAAATCACATGCAACATATTCAAATCTCAATATGTTTTCTATATATTTCTCAAATATTCTTTATTGTCTGAATAATAGAGTATTTCTTTCAAATTTATAAAGTAATAAATATCGGAGAATTTCTAATAATTAATGATTTATATAACAAAAGGTCAACAGGACAAAATAATATCAAGCATAGAACATGTTGAATATTAGATGACTATAAAAAACAAAAGAACAATGACTAATGAATTACATAATAGAATGTGATAATGATATCCTATGGTAAAATCAATAACTTTTTATTTAATTCAATATTTAACACATCACGGTTATTTTTAATGTTTTTAGTTTACATTTTTTTTAAATTTATATGCATTACTATATATATACAGTTAATATTTCTAACCTACCTAGAAGATTCTATTTCTTCTAATGCTTCTACTGCATTTAACTGAAGGGCATCCAATTTTTTGTCAAGCACCTAAAATTCATTGAATATTAATTTATTGAATATCAATTAATTAATTTGAATATAATGATTTTTTTCATTAAATTTAAATTTTTAATTATATGTTCTAAAGAATCTTTCGAAGCATTTCATTGATTAAATTTATTTTGTCAAATTATTATTATAATATTAAACAAGTATTAATTAAAATATATCTATTTATATATTAACTAAATTAATGAAATTTTTGAATATTCAATAAAATAATGTTATTTAATGTGATGGTATAAAATAATGATATTTAATATTGATTGTTTGAATTGATTGTTCTTTTAATAATTCTATAAGTGCAACATATGTTATACATTCTGGTCATATAGTTTTGCTTTTGTACGTAAAAAGGAATTATGGATAAAGATCTACATTGATTTTTTAATACATTTTCTTAACACATACAAATATTTATACATTTAATCACATAGCAATGCTTTTGTTTAATATATGTTTATGTAATAACTTGTATTAGGAAGTAAAACTCTAAAATATATTTAATATTTAACTTTTCACATTTTACATATCTACAAGACTGATAGATTAGTATCTGATAAGTAATTAATTGAACCAAAAATATATATTTTTAAGTAAAGTACATTTTCATTACCAATAAAATTATTAGCCACATGGATGCTTATTTATTTAACAGCAAGTATTCATATACAAATATAATCGGAGAAAAATCTTTTCTTGTGGTAACAATGTGTAAAATCGTATCATTAACAGTGTTAAAGTTGAAATTAACGTTGCCCATAGTATAGGTTAAGATAATTATTTCATTGTCAAATGAAGTTTAAGCAATACTGCCTTAAATATAGCGTAAAAAACAATTCACCTCTGATTCTTCAATTTCTTCCCAACTTTCAAGAATGTCATCCACAGCTGACATTTTTCGATTTCTACGATTATTTTTAACTATTATAAATCACCTTGAAAAAGTTAACAATGCTCGTATGAATCGAGGAACACACAGATGTGTGCAAGATTGGTACATGAAGGTATCTTACGGTAAGAGAAAAGTTAAAATAGCCCTGTTATGTCACATCTGCCAAATAAAGGGACCGAATATTTCCTAGATTAACTTCTTCTTGGCGCAATATTCAAATTGTACTAAACATTTTATGAAATCACTTGTACAATGCAATGTACAAATATTGACAATTTTTAATTTATTGTAGTATATAAATATCAATGAAGATTTGATTTTAATTAGTATTAGTAATTGTCTCAATTACAATATTGAGAAACTGAATTAATTTTTCTATCCATTTTCTATTCAAATAATCGAGACTGATAAAATATTTTTTAATGATATAATTTCATTAATTATACAAAATAAAAATATTAATATTATTTATAATATCGACTCGAACTATTTTCTCACTTTCAAGAGAATTTGGAAACATATTAATGTCAAATTTTTAATTGTTAAATGAAACAAAATTTAGAGTGATGAAGGTTCAAGATAAAGACTAACAATTTTTTTTTCTTTATAATACAATGTATATATAAATAAATTTCATTTAAACATAAGCATCAATTCTAACATTAATTAATTATATTACTGCTGTTGGCTGGTTACACAAAGTTATTTTTCTGTTTGAAGTGCAACAAATGTGCAACAAATTGTATTATATTATAATATTTATTTTATTATATAAGATTTCCTTTTAACCATCTTAGTCTAAGCTGTTCCTTAATAGTATAATGATTCATTTTTTTAATGTTATTCTTGGCTTCCATGGTAGCCTGATAACGTGCAGGATCAAGTTTCCCAGTATCATGAATTGTACCATTTTCATGTATATAATACGTGGTAAAATCATCAATTGTCTTTGGTAAGTTCTCGGGTAATTTCAATGGGACAATTTTTACTAAATGTTTAACTTTCCAAAGCATGGCACATATCTCTGGTATGTTCTTCACAAATATTGGTTCATTTTTCTGCAAAGAATAATACATGGAGCTTAAATAAAACTGAGGAAAACCTTAAATTATAAATCGATTTACAGTTTGAATAAATATAGATTCTTACCTTTTCTTCAAATCCCAGATGTGAAAGTGTATCCTTCTCCCAGTAGGGATTACCCTTCCACGGTTTCACTCTAATAACCATTAAAACTTTCGATGGTACAACTGGAGGATCTACATGGTCTATCGTGCTGAAACAGAAAATTATGTTTCATCAACGATTTACAAACACAAGTTAATAATGGCATTTCTTTTCTTACCGTGGATGATACTTGACTTTTTCGTATCTGACGGCATCCTTGAGCCACGTTCTTGTATATTGTCGATGACCACGTACAAACGTTAATAGAACATTGAAACGATTTGCCATGTTTCACACGAGTTACGGATGTGTTAGGTTATGTTTTTGAACAATTGTATGTTCTGAAATACCGATTCCTTAACGATTGATGAGCAAAGTGCTTCCATCTACTGGACTAGAATCAAAGATACGGAGAGCGATAATTAGCGAGAATAAAAATTTAAATAAAAAAAAACTGTTTGATACTTGTCATATATGTTCCTAATTATGTTTACGAACGACTTTGATTGAAATATTTAATGCAAGTTTTCCGAAATTATTTTAAATTAAATTGTTTTCGCGCGAGTTTTACGAGTCGAACGAGATTTGCAAAAATTTTTATTCATACATTTTACAAATCAAACGAAACTTACAAAGAAAATTGAGGCTGTAACTTGGAAGATTCAACTGCAAAAGTTCATAAATTAATCCTTTTAATTAGTCATTTTTGCAAATGAAAGTTTAATCGTTTTATGGGCATGAAGGGATCGAAAGTATCGATGATAATGGGAGGATAATGTAGGAAGTGATGATGTGGGTAAGGTGAGGAAAGGTTGTGCGTTTCTTCTCAGAGTCGCTGCCTAGACTCCAGCAGTGGGGTTGATGTTCCTCCTTACCCCAGAGACGCTTGTTGTTCTAACTACTTGCTAGGCTGGACGGTGTTCCGCAACTCTGTTTTTGCTTAACATCGAATACCGATTGACTTCGACGCTAGGCGCACAGCCACTTGCGGCTTGTACAAGTTGGTGTTCGAAACTCGTACTCGAGGAACTATAGGTCGCTACAGGCACTGAAATGCTAGCGCCGCGTAGCGGTGAAACTACGGAACTAAAATTTGTCGCTGTCTTTGTCGCAAATTAGCGCGCTCTTTGTCTGTCGACAGTGCTGCCACCTATGCAACTCGGTTGAAACTAAAAAATAAATCGGAGAAATCCGATAGGTGGCAGCACTCATGTTTGTAGATAAAAAGCGCAATAATGTGTGACAAGGACAGACTTATGCATTGCAAAAGACAAGAAGCGCGCTAGGACAGCTTCGATAAGGACAGCAATAGATTTTAGTTCCGCCGTTTCACCGCTACGCGGCGCTAGCATTTCGGTGCCCATAAATTGATTAAATTTTCATTTGCAAAAAAAAAGGAATTAAGATAATTAATTTACGAACTTTTGCAGCTTCGCCCTCGTTTTTAGATCTCAAGCTTTCTTCCTATGTCGCATTTGATTTGTAAAACGCGTAAATAAAAATTCACAAATTTGGTTTGTTAGATCGAAATAGGTACAAATTGAAATGAACGAAATGACCGAATATTTGAATCAGAATTGTTTAAAGGTGAGCAATTAAGTTCGTACAATGTTGGATATAAATTTTTATTTAATCGATTAGTTACCAACAATTATCACACGTTTCATTATCGCACGTAGCATTGATGCCATTAGTTCTGCGTATGATTTACACTTTATTTATCGAATGATTGATAGGGAACGATTTTATACTTACATAAAATTTAATTGCGACATAATGATTTTATATTTACATAAAATTTAACTGCGACATAATGATTTCATAGCAAATTACAAGATATTCTTATTAACTTATGAATTATAATTTATTCGCATACATTTACATCCATTTCAATTGTAGATTTCTTTATAATACAGTTTGGTATTCTTAATACCACAATCTTACAATTATACGTATATTTAAGACTTATTTGAAAAATTGTGACATATGAGTAGTAAAAAATTCAAGGAGAATCTTCTATCTTCCTCTTGTTCTGATTAAGAAACTATTGATCATTTGACGATCTTTAGTTTTTTTTCTCCTCCAGTTTCTCAAAATCTCACCATTACATTAACAGAACCGTAATTTCAAATTTCCAGTTCTGTGCATCTACACATTTGCGGGAAATTTTATAGTGCACGCAGTACGAAAAAGGTGCAGCATGAAATATTCAAGGCACAGTGGTTCCAATAATATTCGAAGCAATTTTCTACCGCGGTGTTATTTTTTTTTCAATTATACTACCAAAACTACAAATTCGCGTAAATATCCGTAGTTTGTTCACAATGTTCGTTCATTTCTGCTACGAAAGTGTTAGCACGGGACTTGATTACTCGAGTAAAATTTACTTTACAGAGGAGGCATCGTCGAATATAGTGGAGATTACTTCGATAAAAAGGAAAACAAATCTAATAAATTATTTATAATAATAAATATAATATAATAAATAGTAAATTACTTAATAATAAATATAATATATATATATTTGTTATAAATAATAAATATAATATAATAAATAATAAATTATTTAATAATTAATATAATATATATACATATTTGTTATAAATGATAAATACAATATAATTAATAATAAATATAATATAATAAATAGTAAATTACTTAATAATAAATATAATATATATATTTGTTATAAATAATAAATATAATATAATAAATAATAAATTATTTAATAATAAATACAATATATATATTTATTATAAATAATAAATATAATATATATATTTGCTATTATACATAATAACTATAATATAATAAATAATAAATTATTTAGTAATAACTATAATATACATATATATTATTATTATAAATAATAAGTACAATATAATAAATAATAAATTATTTAGATAAGAGGGATAGCGTGTTATGTTTGATCTAACGAGGCTCAAACATTTCTCCACAGATAAAGAGATCGGATATTTTCAATTTTTCAGTATTTCAAGAATCGTCGTTAATAATAATTCAAAAAATCTTTCGAAGAATAAATCGCGATCGCAGCCAATTAGCTCATAATATTATTTGTTGTGTAATTCGTAATTGCATCGTAGAATAATTCAATTAGCAAATAATAATGATTGCCCAGGTCTCGTGGATGTTACTGCGTGGATGTTAAATGTGGAGACCCATCCATTTCGCGACCACCTTCCTTTCAGGGTGGCCGTGAAAGCTCATTTCAAAAAGAAGAAATTCTGCGATTGCAACATTTCACGTTCGATCACTTTACAAACGAACAGCTTTACAAAGAAGCTTTAAGGAGATTTTACGAATATTAAAGTAGAAATTGAAATTGATGTTAATCGGAATTCAGACCACAGATCTTTTTTTTGTTGGTGTATTTAAAAAAAGGAAATATAGAATCAGGGTAATATGCGTATATAAACTTCTAAATTCAACAATTCAGTTCTGTAATTTCATGTAAATGCGTATAATCGCAATGTAATAGCAACTAAATAAAATTTCGAAAGAGAAACGGAAGAGTTGTTCGATTTTGAAAAGAAAAAAAAAAAAAAATCAATTTCGAACGTCAGGGTAGGAAATGGAATCGATTGAAATCAGACACGATACCAAGTGAAACCTGTTTTATACGAGCTATCGTGTCTATCGATCCAAAAGTTATTTGCCAATCTTGTTTATTTAATAATAACAGTACCGTACAATTGTAGCCAGAAATCAAATTAACGAGTGTCCATGTCAATCGTTTAGGATACGTTTAAAAATATCGATTTCGTTTTAAAGCAGTAACAAAAGGAAAACAACATTCTTTCTTATAACGTTACAATGAACTTTGTTTTTATACAAATAATACGCTTCGTGTTAAATTTCGTATTAAAATTTAATTTCCGTCGCAATTGTTACAAATATTTTAATCTCGTCTCGCGTTGAATCGGCAAACGCTGCGCATGACACTAACACGATAACGAGGGCTCTACAGCTTTTAAAGC